AGAAATTGAGAATAGAAAAATAAAAATTGAAAGAGAGCATATTAAATAATTTAAATAAAGAAGATCTGAATTAACTATTGATAGTACACCTCAAATTGTTGTTTAAAAAGAATCTTAAGCATCTGATAAAATATATTCTGTAGGTTCTATCAAAGTAGTCAAATTAAAGATTAAACCTCCTTAATTTTTAGAAGATCTTAATCATGAAAATAATAAAGAAGAAACAAAAAATGTTGACAAAAATGAAAATAACTAATAAGAAATTAAAAATCCAAATATAAAAAGTTTTAAACCCCTTGTTAATGATGATGATGATGATATTATACCAGAACCTGCTGTATAAAAAAAGGTAAAACTTGTAGAATATGATTCTGAATGAACCAATATTTATATAATAATAAAACCAACCATTTAAATACGAAACATTAATATAAATATCGTTGTCGGCCATACTAAGCCTAAAGCACCGGATCCCATTCGAACTCCGAAGTTAAGCGGCTTAAGGCGAGGTTAGTACTAAGGTGGGGGACCGCTTGGGAAGTCCTCGTGTTGACAACCCTTTTTTTTTATTTATTTTTATTATTAATTATTAATTATATTCTTTTTTTAAACATATTTCAATATTAACTAAAAATTAAAAAAAGGATGGATTATCAATAATCTATTTACTTTTTTGTTAATTTTTCATATTGAAGAGAAGTTGAAAAATACAGATTTAAGATAGATTAGTTAAAATTCATCTTTGATATTCAAGTTTTCATTATAATTATAATTAATTCAATTGTAAAAAATTAAGATCGAGAATTCGATTAATATTTTTAAAATCTAAAAGATAATAGTATATTATTAAGTTTAATGTAATATCAATTGAATAGATGGATCTTACTTGTAATTTAGATAGGAATAGTATATACAAAGTTGTCAGTTAATGTTATATCATTATAATTTTATTGATTCATAAATATGAGAATTTAGAGATGTTAAATATTATTTATTAAGATTGAATATATTAATTTGTTTTGCAAATACACACTAGTAACTTAATCAATCTTTTCCCCAAAAATTATTGAATATAGTTAAGTATGTTGATTTAATTGCTGCATCCTATATATATTTAAATATCAATATTACGTCATAATGATAGAAATAATTAATAATTCCCATAGCAATACCGAATAGGAACAATTCCCAACCTTTAATATTTGATACATATCCCCTCTTTTTTAATAATCTCCATGCAGTTTCTAATGATTTTGGGAATATAAATAATGCTATTTCTTATCTTCTACCTTCAGATTCTAAGAAAAGTGCTGAACAAGCAACAGATGCTGCAAGTGCAGGATTCAAACCTAAAGATCCTTAATTATTAATTACCATCTACTTTTTATCGAATATTTTTAAGTTTGCATAAAGCATATTTACAAATAGCAACATAAAGAGAGACAAATAAAACTGATTTGGCATAATTATAAAAAGCCACAGAAATAGTTTTTAAGGGTCTTCATAAATTTAAAGATATCTACCTCTAAATCACTCTCTTTCTTTTGAAAATGAGAAATGGAATTAAATGGATAGGTATATAGTATTTGTATGATTTTGGAATTAATTAAAGCAGTCTTACAAAAGAGGCATACAAACATGTGCCATCATGAAAATCATTGCATTCTACTATGCCTAAATCATTAATAANGTAAATATCGTTGTCGGCCATACTAAGCCTAAAGCACCGGATCCCATTCGAACTCCGAAGTTAAGCGGCTTAAGGCGAGGTTAGTACTAAGGTGGGGGACCGCTTGGGAAGTCCTCGTGTTGACAACCCTTTTTTTTTATTTATTTTTATTATTAATTATTAATTATATTCTTTTTTTAAACATATTTCAATATTAACTAAAAATTAAAAAAAGGATGGATTATCAATAATCTATTTACTTTTTTGTTAATTTTTCATATTGAAGAGAAGTTGAAAAATACAGATTTAAGATAGATTAGTTAAAATTCATCTTTGATATTCAAGTTTTCATTATAATTATAATTAATTCAATTGTAAAAAATTAAGATCGAGAATTCGATTAATATTTTTAAAATCTAAAAGATAATAGTATATTATTAAGTTTAATGTAATATCAATTGAATAGATGGATCTTACTTGTAATTTAGATAGGAATAGTATATACAAAGTTGTCAGTTAATGTTATATCATTATAATTTTATTGATTCATAAATATGAGAATTTAGAGATGTTAAATATTATTTATTAAGATTGAATATATTAATTTGTTTTGCAAATACACACTAGTAACTTAATCAATCTTTTCCCCAAAAATTATTGAATATAGTTAAGTATGTTGATTTAATTGCTGCATCCTATATATATTTAAATATCAATATTACGTCATAATGATAGAAATAATTAATAATTCCCATAGCAATACCGAATAGGAACAATTCCCAACCTTTAATATTTGATACATATCCCCTCTTTTTTAATAATCTCCATGCAGTTTCTAATGATTTTGGGAATATAAATAATGCTATTTCTTATCTTCTACCTTCAGATTCTAAGAAAAGTGCTGAACAAGCAACAGATGCTGCAAGTGCAGGATTCAAACCTAAAGATCCTTAATTATTAATTACCATCTACTTTTTATCGAATATTTTTAAGTTTGCATAAAGCATATTTACAAATAGCAACATAAAGAGAGACAAATAAAACTGATTTGGCATAATTATAAAAAGCCACAGAAATAGTTTTTAAGGGTCTTCATAAATTTAAAGATATCTACCTCTAAATCACTCTCTTTCTTTTGAAAATGAGAAATGGAATTAAATGGATAGGTATATAGTATTTGTATGATTTTGGAATTAATTAAAGCAGTCTTACAAAAGAGGCATACAAACATGTGCCATCATGAAAATCATTGCATTCTACTATGCCTAAATCATTAATAATCCTCTCTTAGAATTCTTTCGATAAACCTCTATTATTAATGGACATAGATTTTATTATAATTTTGAGCAAATAATGTAAATAAATTCTATAATAAAGACCTTTAAACTTATATAAGACTTTATTCAACATAAATTGATATTACGAAAACCTAGTTTACATAGTTTAATTTTATTTATAATTTAAGAATTCTTTGATTAATTTGTTTACATTATTTATAATATGTTTGAGAATTATATTCAAAATGAAGAATCTCTCAAAAGGAAGGTATTATGTTTAAATAAAAAATAAGATCAATTTAATAATTAAAATGATGAAAATACGAATGAAAATATCTAAAATGCATAAGATCAATCAGAACTGATTAGATTATACTAATATATGCAATTGAAAAATAAACTATATAATAGTATAATTTCATATTGAATATAGAAATCTTATAACATATGCGTACATTAAGAAAATGGCAATTAAATATATTGTTTTCATATTGAAAAATGATTTATATGTCAAGAGTCTTTACAAATTGGGAGTATAGATAGATGGATAGTTAAAGAAGTTTAGAATTCAATTATTAAGATATGTCATAATGAGTTAAGGATGAGGATTAGAAATCTTTGAAAAAATGTTAAGGTTTTTACTACAAAAAAGAATGATATAAAATAAAAAATGATTGTTATAATTTAAAATTAATATGTAAGATAGTTAAAACCTGAAGGATTTACAAGTTTAACTCAATAGATTTATCAGTAGACTTGAGGAATTAGAAAGAGAAAATAAATACTTGAAGGAATAAGTTCTAAATTAATAATGTTAATTGATGTAAAATGTAAAAATAATTGATGTAAAATATCAATAAATTCATCGTAAGTAAATTAAATAAATTAAACTAAGATATTTAAAGTGTCTCTATAAATATGGTACATTTTAAAGTTGTCTAAATAGCATGATTATACAATACAATAAATTAATAGATAAATTTGGTATTGATGACACAATTAAAATGGATCTAAAAAGTTGTATAGAAAAATATGGTGTTATTTATGAAAAGAATAAAATAATTGATGAAGATGAAATGAAAAATATAATAAATGAAAGAATTTAAAAAGAAAGTGAAGAAATATATACACTATTTTTTCCAACTAAAGTTTATTAATACTTAACTGATAATGATTCATTGTAATTATTATATTATATTATATTTAGATAGAATACTTGTACATTTTAATCATTATAATCATAAAGGTTTAGAATGTAAAATTCTATGTAAAATACTTAAGAAATGATTACAGATAATTCTGATGATACTATTATTAATAATCTAACAACTTAAAGATATTTGGAAAAGTTATAATTTGATTATTAAAATGATCAAACATTACATTATCCAAAAACCTTTAAAGTGGAAAAACTATTATAATAAACTAATAGAGATTTAAGTTTGTAAAATAATACAGACAGATCATAAAAATCGAAATTTGAAAGAAAAGGAGAAAGCAAATAAGAATTTAAATAAGAGTAATTAAAAGTATCCCCTCATAAATCATTAAATTATTCAGGAGTTGAAGATAGACTGAAAAGATTTGATAATTAAGAGAATGAGTAAGGGCATCCTAGGAGAAGATCAAGAGCAGATAGAATTAAATAGTAATAGTGATATATGAAATTAATTTTACTATATTTCTAAGTATTAATATATATATATATATAAATTGAATGGATTTGGATATATAAAATCCTTAGGTTTTGATTCAGAATAATTAAAAGAACTGATCTTAAGTGATGTATTATAAGGTTATCTTAAATTGAAATGAGGTCAACTAATTTTTTAAAATGTGAAGATGATGGACATATTTGAAAATTTCATAATGAAAATATGTGAGATTTATATTTAATATGTATTAGATTAAATATTGATTTGAGAAGGTTCTTAAGTAAATGTTTGATTGGTATTTTTTGAATCACAAGGAAGAATAGAACATTCTATGATTTTCTAAGACATTCTAAATTTATTTATGTTTGAGAGAATCTTAATAAAATAAATATTATAAATTAATGTCGAAATCTCGTAGTCAATCATCTATACCAGCATTTTTATAGAAAACATATGATATTTTGGAAGTATTGTACTCTATTTAATTACAAGAATCCTTAATTGTAAGATATTGTAGGTTGGAATGAAGATGGTTCAGGATTTCTTGTAAAAAATGTGATAGCCTTCTAAGATCAAGTTCTTCCTATGTACTTTAAGCATAGAAACTTTGCATCGTTTGTTCGCTAAGTAATTAATAAAAGTCAGCATCTAATAGATGAATATGTATGGGTTTCATAAGTCAAGAAGTGATTTAAAAGAGAACGAATTCATTCATCCTCATTTTAAAAAGGATTAAAAGTATAATTATTATATGTAATTGAAGAAATCTTTTAAAAAAAATAAAAAGAAAATCAGGTGAACATAATGATGAATAATTTGCAATAATGGAATTAAAACCACATAGAAATACTAATATATAAGATGTTAATTATTAAGTTATATTATTAATTAGAAATAAATTTAAGAAATATTAACTAAATAACAAGAGTTAGAGAAAGTTTGTAAAATATTAATTGAATAAAATAATAAAATATTATAATGCAATCAGTAACTAAGGAATTAATTGGTTCAAGAAAGGTATATATATATATAAAAAGTAAATTAGATTCAATGGTAATAAAAAGATATAGAAATTAAAAGATTACTTTTTAGGATAATAATAATAAATATAAAGTATTGAAGATGATCCATTATAAGTAATTATATTTAATTTAATATTAGAAAAGATAATCTACATCATTATATTAAGCATTGGAATCTGATAATGAAGATTTGATTGTTGTAGGTAAGAAAAAAGTGAAGGAAGATGATTCTGATAGTACAATTGAAAGAATGGATAATCAATATTCGAATCCACCTTTAATGTTGACAAATGTAGAACATTAAGATATTTAAGAATCAAATGATGATGGAATAATTCAATTGTTGGGAGATCAACAATTAGATGATATATACTTTGATTGATCTATAAAATAATTATGTATAGATATAATATAATTTAATGAATTAATAGTTAGGATCTTATGTTAAATTCTTTCATATCATAAGAGAATTAGGAGATAGTTTCTAAATTGATAGCAAATAGAAATAAATACTCAAAGTTAACTTTACTATAAAGGATAAAAAATTGATGACTATTTTAAATGATCTAAGTACAAAATTTATATAAATAAGATGATGAAGACTAAGAAGAAATTAAATTTAGTCTTTTAAATTATCTAAATGAATTACCTAAAGAAAAATAAGGTGTTTCAAGATAAATGAAGAGAACTAGATCAAGCATTACAGATGTTGATTTAATCAAAGGTATCTAATTTGATGAAACTAAATCACATGATTCTGTTACTGATATGGAAAAAGCATTTAAATTGATTAATCATTTCTATAATAAAAAAAAAGAAGGACAAACCATTAATCCTAAAATCAATTAAATATTTGAAAATATTCGCAATCTATTTATTTAGAATGAATCTTAATAAAATCAATCACCTATTTTATTAACTAAAGGTTCTTCATCTCCAACTATGGATATGAATTTATTAATTGAATCAGATTTGTTAGATTCATATAAAAATATAAAGTTTCAATTTGCTAATTATATGAAAAGTCATTTGTTATTAATGGATGAAAATGTTTCTTATACTACTATATTTAATTTATTAAGAGAATTAACAAAAAATCTATTAAATTGTGATCATTTTAGTTTTTTCAATTTAAATTCAAATTCTGAACTTGAATTATATTAAACTAAGACTGATATTTTTGATTAAATTCCATTAGATCAATCAATTACTAATGAAATAGCATCATTTCCATAAAATAAGATATTTAGATTCCCATTAAATTCTATATTATGCTCTAAATTAGATTCAATGAATTATTTATCCTCTTATGGATTATATTCAAATAATATCATCTTTATTTATCATTCCAAATAAAATAAATAATTAGATTCAGGATCTATATTAAAGTAAAATTGATTCTGTATCCTTTATGTAGAATAGCTAATGATTATTAATTGATAGATGAATTGAAAAATATGTCTATGTTTTTAATTCATACAATATAGAATGCCAAAGTCTAGTTCTTTAGTCCATTATCAATTGCAGATATGATATTAGATTTAGGAATCTCATTTGTTAGAGCATCCAAATTTATATTAATTGAATAAATGTATAATATACTATCTTAAATGTTTAAAATAGATAAGTAATCTTAATTTAATGATAGATTATAAACAGATTAATAAGAAATTTCAATTTGGGATTCAGAAAGTGTTTATATAGTATTTAAAGACTATTAAGTTACAGTGTGTTTTAGAATTTATTAGATGAATTTATAGAAATAAAGTGATTAAAGAATATATTCAGAAGTAAAACATTATTATGAAAAATATCTCAGATTTATAAGAGAATGTTTTGATAAAAGTGCATTTTATAAATTCTTTTTAAGATCCAATGATTCATTAGTTTTTGAATTTGATAAAAGTGGACATCTATTATTTTTATCAAGACCAATACCTAAATAAATTAAATCAAATTTTAATATCTAATTTAATTCACATATGATACATAATAATCAATTATCATATAATAAAATATTTGATTAAAATGTAGTTTCAAATATTGAAAATTATTTATAAGATCATAATTGGAAAACTATGAAAGATAATGAAAAATAATATGAAATATTCTTGAAAATAGAAGAAAAAACATATAAAGGATTTGCTTTGATTTTTACAGAAAATACTAAAGGATGGGTTAAAAAGTAATTTAAATAATTAGAATCTGGAAATTAATTAGATTCTAAAATTAAAGCTAAAATTAGAAAACAATTAATTTAACATGAAACTATCAATTTTGTAAATAAATTAGAAGAAAATAATCCAGATGTTAAAAATTCAGTTGCTTCATTATATATGCCTTTACAATAATTGATATTGAAACGAACTAAATCAAATTAAACTAATTAGCAAGATTAACCTAAAATACAGAAATCTGATATAGAATTTAAAAAATCTAAATTTGCAAATATTGAAGAATTAGATTTAAATGAATTCTAATTAGAAAATCAAGATGATTTAATAGATACATTTGATTTTAATATTATGGATTTAACAAATTAAAAAGAAAAACATAGAGTTGTATGGGTTATTTTAAAAAAGAATGCAATTTTTGATGATTTTCATTTACCTTATGAAAATTTATAAAATTTCATTAAAGAAATAGAATATCATTATAATATAAATAATAATCCGTATCATAATTATGATCATGGTATTACAGTTATGCAAACAGCTCATTATTTTTGTAAAGAATTAGAATAAACATCAAAAAATACAATTATAGATAATTTTAATAAATTTATTTTAATGATAAGTAGTTTTGGACATGATGTAGGACATACTGGTAGAACTAATGTATTTGAAATAAATAGTTTAAGTGATTTAGCAATTAGATATCATGATAAAAGTGTATTAGAATAACATCATGCTGCATTAACAATATAAATTTTAAAATACCCTTAATGCAATATCCTAATCAATTTAAATTAAACTTAATTTAGGAATTTTAGAAAAGGATTAATATCAAATATATTAAGTACAGATATGACTGAACATTTCACACTATTAAAAGATTTTGAAAATAGACCTAAAAATTTTAATGATTCTAAAATTTTAAGTGGTTATATAATGCATGCTAGTGATTTTGGTGGTGCTGGAAAAAGAAGTAATATTTCAGTAAAGTGGTCATAGAGAGTAAATTAAGAATTTAGTATTTAATATAAGTTGGAAGGAGAACTTGGATATCCATAATAACCATATATGAAAGATTTACATATTGTAATATTCTAAATTTTATTAATTATAGCCTTAAGTAATGGCAAAATCTGAAGTTGGTTTTTTGAAAGTGATTGTTAGACCTTGTTATGTATTGTTAAGTGAATTTTTGGAAGGTAGATTGAAACATTGTATTGGATATATTGATGATACTATTCAATATTGGGAAAAGATAGGAAAAAAAAATGAAGAACAATAATAATAAAAATAATGATAACTATATTAATTAATTTATATGTAGTAATGTGATAATTTAAAAATTTCAGATAATTTCATTAAGAAATATCCTAATCGAGTGTATATTAAATTATAGATTAATGTTAGATCTAGGTTACAATTTAAAAATGGAATCAAAATAAAAAAATATTTAATTAGCAAATCTGATCATTTTTATCATTTCATATAAATAATTCGAGTAACACTTCACATTTAATAACAAGAAAGTTTATATCTCTTTATTAATAATTCTGATTTGATCAAATCAGGTATAATCATTTATATGTACTAGAGAGTCAAGTGGATGATGTTATAATAAATATATTCTGATAAATACTTGAGAATTAAATTGACAGAATATCCCTCATTTGGATAATGATGTGATAACTTAATTAATTCGTACTTATTTTATATTAAATAAATACTTCTAGTTATCCTTTTAAATTTTAGAATATAAAAGTTTATATTTATTTGTCTTTAAAATAAAAATTAATACATAATAAAATGGGTCAATTTCAATGAGCTAGAACAAAGCCTCTAGTTTTTAATAGTGGATTTGCTTACTAAAAACATTTCTCTTAATCCATAACATGTTAATTCATTCTTTAATGGATATTAAAAATGTAAACTTTTATTTAATTCATTAGAAAAAATGATTTAAAACAAAAATTTAAACAATTCATATTTCACATTTAAGGTTATATTTAAAATATAAACTTTATTCATCATTCAGTTGATACGATAAAAAAATTTATTTTATGCAAATTTAACTTGGAAATTGACCCTTATTATTATTTATATTATATAAATTTGTTAATTAATTATATAAAATACTTTAATTATTATTAATTCAATATTGTTCTCCAGATTTCAATTAATTGGATGTTGGAATTTAAAATAGTTTAATCAAATAATTTTATTTTGAAATTCTCTCAATTATTCATTAGAATATTAATCAAATGAAATAAATTTTCATAATATTTATAAAATTAAATTAAGTAGTATTAAAATTAGATTGGATTAAATGTCAAATATATGGATTATTATTTTAAGAATAATGAGATTGGGAATAATAAGTTCTGTATTTTTAGCCTTAAATGAATATATTATGTTTTGTTTATATTATTAAATAATAATTTTTATAATAAATTTGAATTAATTATTTTAATTGGTTTGCACTATTTGATGCATTAAAACAATTGTTAATATTTTTATTAATTATATTACTAATTATCAAAATGGATTGTTGCTATATTATATGTTCTTGTTGTTAGATTAACGTAGGATTTCTAAAATGTTGTACCTGCCATAAGGATTTTGAATTTTATATGCAAAATTATCTACCTATAACTTGTCCTAGATGCGTGAATGTAAATATTAAATATAAAAATTATTTAGATTAGATTAGATACTTATTATCAAAGTGATTAAGATGTTTAATTACATAGAAATTGTAATTAAAATATAAAAAGAATGTTTCATTATTGTAAATGTTGTGATGGTTATTTCTGCTAGTGTGTGTAATAAATTTCTATTAAACTTTAAGTGAATAAAAATGAAAAAATCAATTGTTTTAAATCCTCGTCCTATCCGACAAGCAAGGATAGAAGGGTTATAAGGAAAAGTTAAAGCTTTTGATCTTTACTTTTTTTTTTATCCATATATCATTTATTCATATTTTTTTTTTTATTCCCAAGAGAAACAATGATCAATTAAATCAAATAATTGTATTTTTATTGACTTCAATAAATAAAGTAATATTATGTATTAGTTTCATGTCAAAAGAATATAAATTTCTTTTAAGCCATTACCATTTATAAGTGATGATTAATGATTAATTTCTTGTTATTTCTAATAGAATTTTAATAAAAAATTATTAGTTTATAATATATTTTATCAAGTTTTATATCTCACAATAACATTTTCTTTAGATAAATCTGCTTATATTTATCTTACTTTTTATGCAGGTCCCTTAGGATTCACTGTTTGAACTATTAATGATTATAAATTAGAGAATACTTCTAGTTCTAGGAGATAATTATCTATCTGTTAATATTTATGTTGGAGTGACTGAATCTTCATTGGTTTAGATCTTAGACTTAAATATAAAAGCAATACAATTTTAGCCACACAATTGAATTGTTCAATGTTGTAAGTAATATCATCATTAGATTATCTACAAGATAAATTTTGTTAATCTATATTTCTGGTTGAATTAAGCATATCTGTTAAATTAAATTATATAGAATCAGCTTCACTTTTAAGAATAGATGATGGTAATAATTTAATTTTTCCAATATTTCCTTAACTTAAAGTATTCTTAAATATAAAAAAGATTTACTTTTTAATGTCCAGTTTAACGAGAAGAATTATAATCATTAGAATGATTATTTTTTTTATGCTTAATTTATTTAGGAGTAGCATTCTTAATTTCTTAGAGATTAACTTAATTAAGAGCATTTTCATAAAATTTATTTTTACTTTTCTACCTTGTAAGTTGAGTTTAAATAGTTTTTAATTACTATTCTTTTTTGAGAGAATCTTCTATTAAGAGAGACTATTTTCTTTAAAAATCATTTTTCAATTTGAGAGCAACTACTTAACATTATTCTGCAATTTTTTTTTCATTATGCAACTTTTTTGTTAATTCAGTTTTTTATTCAACTAATTTAGTTTCTTTATCATGTAATTGCTGATTCAATATTTTAAGTTAAGAATCCAATTTATAATTAATCTCTCTATATTAGTTATAGATTAAAGTAATTACTTATATTCTAATAGTTACTTTTCCAAAATTAATTTCTCTTATTCATTTTGGGTAAGCCTTGCTGTTTAGATCTAATCTCTCTATTAATTATTCATTTAATATTGATTATTGTATGTGATTGTTTCATTATGTGATCTGTTTAAATCAGCAATTTATAGCATTAAGTTTCTTTACTAATTTATAACTACAATTTACTGCTTAATCATGAGTTTTATTTAATTCTTCAATAGTTTTTTATAATTTTTCTTTGTCTTTACATTCACAATCCAATTAGTAAGTGAGTTAATTGAGTTTTATTTTAAGACAATTCAAATCCTATTAAATAGTAAAAAGATAAATATATACATATTCAAAAATAGATTTCTGATTACTTAATGCATCTGCAAATTCATGTGCTAGTCCCTCTTTTTCAATTTCATTTTATTTTATCATCAAACTCAATTAATATTATAATTCAACACATCTTAAACATTTTCTAATTCATAATAATTATAATATATATACTCATTTTCCTATTCTTATAATAATTACTTATAATCATTTTACAATTATATAAACTCTTGACATTTCTTGCGATGCTGAAAATAATAATAATTAAATCTTACTTCATATTCAACAATTGTTATTTTTTCTTAAAGAGTACTTTTTAGATTAAATAATTCTTAATCATGCAGTTAATTTAATAAATGAATTTCTTTCCCTTTTTCTTAATTTGCTATTCCACTCATCGCCTACATTAAGGATTCATTAAGTTTTTTTAGATTTATCTCTCTATCAAGAGCCTCTTTAAGTTACATCTCTAATAAAACAGATTTATTCATTAACTGTTTATCTGTTTATATTATATATATATATAAAATATAATACTATAGAAATTATAAATAATGAAGGAGATCAATAATTTATATATATTAGATTAATAGTATAAAATAGATGAAATATATTATTGATCTAAAAGAGATATGTAAAATGATTGAATACGTGCTTTACTTTAATTAAAAATTATATTAAAATGTAATTTAATGAAAACACAAAGAAGTTCATGACTCCAGAAATGATGAAATAGATGTCTTAAATGTGTGCAAACATGAGTGATGATCAATTAAGATAATATGCCTAAATGGCTGGAATGGGAAACGTAGATCCATAATTTATGAGACAATAAATGGGTCAAGTTAAGAATATGAGAGATGAGGATCTATAAAGATAAGTTAATCAAGTAATATATTTATATATATATATTAGACTCGTCCAGAAGATATAGAAAGAGCAAAGTAAAGAATGTAAGGTTAATAATAATAATAATAATAATAATAATAATAAAAACCATAAAGTGAATAATTTCCAATAATTAACAAATTAAAAAATCAAGGAAATGATGCATTTAAATAATAAGATTATGAAAAAGCAGCATCCAAATATTATGAGGCAATCTCAGAAATTGAAGAATTATGGGAGAATAATTCTTATTTAAAAAATGATACAAACAAAAAAATAGAATTAAAATAATTAGAGCATTCTTGTAGATTAAATTATTGTAATGTAAAAGCTAAACAATTATAATTTGATGTTGTTTTAAGGTAAGCAAAGAAAGTTTTAGAAGATGATGATTAAAATGGAAAAGCTAATTTCAGAATGGGTTAAGCATTATTTGAAACAAAAAAATATTAAGAAGCTCTTGGATATTTAGAAATTGCCTCCTAAAAATTACCAAATGATGAAACTGTATAAATTATGTATAAACAAACAAAAGAATAATTGACCAATGTAAATTTAAATGTTAATTAAACATAAAATTAAAATAAATCTGATCCATAAGTATAAGAATAAAATATTGAATAAACTTAATTTGTAAAATAATAAGAAGATTAAGTAAATCAAAATTAATAATCTTAACAAATTTAAAATGATAAAATAGAAAATTAAGATTTTTAAGAAGAAGTTTAAAAGAAACCAAAAATCAAATTATCCTCTGTTGACACTAATTCTGAAGAGTTCTAAAATTTAAAGTAAAAGGTACAATCTTCTAAAGAAGATGGTTTTATTGTTGAAGAAGAAATTCCTACTTCTAAAAGTCAACCTAATAAACCTGTTACTAAATAAACAGAAACTTAGAATGTAAATAAAATACCAGAAAATCCTTAATTTCAATAGTAATTCGATTAATTTAAAAATATGGTAATATTAATTACTATAATAGTCTCCTGAATAATTAAATTATATGACTAATACTTTAAAATCAATGGACAAAGGATTCTTGAAATAAATGATGAAATAATAGAGTGGAGTAGAAATGTCAGATTAATAAATAGAGATGATGTAAACTATGATGACACCTGAAATGTTGGCATAAATGAAAAATATAGATCCAGCAGTATTATAATAATAAAAGTTATAATAATCATAATAATAATAATAATAATAATAATAACAACCTATTTAATCAACTTAATAATCAAATCATTAAAGTGCTCCTTAAGTTCCTACTTCATCTTAATAAATGCCATAAAATCTATCAGGATTAGCATAGAATCCATAAATGCTTGAAATGGTTATAGATTAATTAAAAGCCAATCCTTAAATGTTAAAAATGATGGCTCCTGCTTTTGGTGGTAATAATGCAATTACATCATATATTGATTCTGCAAGGTAAGTTATATAATTTAATTTTAATAGTCCAGAGTAATTATCTAAAGTTGTTGGTAGATTGGCCATATTCTTAAAGTTTCTATTAATGTTGTATAGAGCTTGGTTAATGGTTAAAAATCAATGGAAATTTATATTGGGGTTCCTCTTGGCGTACTTATATTTTAAATTATTTTGAATTCTAAAAGAATAAGTTATTAAATTATATTTATTAATGGACACACCTATAGGCAAAGATCTCACTAATTCAGTCATAGGCAAAGTTTATAAGTTGACCAAGAGAATAGGGAGTGGAGCTTTTGGAGAAATATATCAAGTAGTAAAGGGAAAGGAGGAATATGCAATGAAATTAGAAAGAAGTGATACAAAGCATCCTTAATTGTTTTTTGAGGCTAAATTATATACTTATTTATAAGGCTCTGATCTAAGTGATAAAGGTATTTGAAATGTTAATTAAAAGTTAGGAATCCCTAGAATATATGCTTAAGGAACAGACGGTGATTATAATTACATCGTCATTGATTTGTTAGGTTAAAGTTTAGAAGATCTATTCAACAAGCATAATAAAAGACTATCATTAAAAACTGTATATAGCTCTAATTTACTCTTAGGTCTTGATGCTTGGAGACTAGATGATTTAACGAATTGAATTTATTCATTTGAACAAATTTCTTCATCGTGATATTAAGCCTGATAATTTTCTTATTGGATAAGGTTAAAAGGCAGTCAGAATCTACCTTTTAGATTTTGGATTGGCTAAACGCTATTAAACAAAAGAAGGGCACATACCTTATAGGGAGGGAAAGAGTTTAACAGGAACTGCCAGATATGCATCTATAAATACTCATTTAGGAATTGAGTAATCAAGGAGGGATGATTTAGAGTCTCTTGGTTATGTCTTAATGTATTTATTAAGAGGTTAACTTCCTTGGCAAAATATGAAAGGAAATAATCAAAAAGATAAATATCAAAGAATAATGGAGAGAAAATTAGAAACATCTTCTGATGTATTATGCAAAGGATTTCCTATTGAATTATGTTAATACTTAAATTATTGTAAACATTTAAAATTTGAAGAAAAACCTGATTATAATTATCTAAGAGGATTATTTAAAGTATATTACTTATAAGATATATTAGGATGCCTTTAAAAAGATTGGTTTTGAACTTGATTATAAGTATGATTGGATAAAGGATGATAATGTGATAAGAACTCAGCAAGATTTGATGAGTGGTGAAAAACAATAGTTATATTAATAGTTAATAATGACATAACCATTACACTAATAACCTCCAATATTACCAAAAGGTGTATACAATGGAATAGATTCAGAGAAGAAAATATCTAATATGAATACTTAACAATTAAATTCATAATAATTGATAGCACAAAGAAAAACAATATAATAATAATAAATAAATAAAATTTAATCAGTGGAAAAGAGAAGAACTAGTTTTTAAAATAGATAGCCTATTCCATCTAAAGAAATTGTAAAACCTGTAACTTAAGTGTTGGCACCAAAAATAGTAACTACTAAAGAACCTCACAGAAAATATTGATATTCTGCAATTATAATACATTTTAATATTTGATTCTCAATAAATATAAAATTACCCGCTCATTTAATTTTATTATGTAAAATAGGACTTTGAATTAGTTTAACAAAAATACATCTGCTATGCAAGTAGAAGAACCCATTGTTAAACCTATGTTGCCATGGGTTGAAAAATAGTATTAATACTTAATAATATAAAGTCGTCCTAATAAAATAGAAGATTTAGCATATTAAGAAGAAGTGGTTTAAAGTTTGTAAGGTGTTTTGAAAACTGGAAATTTACCTCATCTTTTACTTCATGGACCTCCAGGAACTGGGAAGACATCTACTATAATAGCATTAGCAAAGCAATTATTTGGACCTGATTTTTGGAGATAAAGAGTATTAGAATTGAATGCTTCTGATGATAGAGGAATCAATGTTGTTAGAAATAAAGTGAAAAAGTTTGCAGAATAAATTGTTGCCAAAAACCCAAATCCAGGATTTCTATGTCCTAGTTATAAAATAATTATTCTTGATGAAGCTGATTCAATGACTAATGATGCTTAAAGTGCTCTTAGAAGAATTATAGAAGATTATGCAACTACTACTAGATTTTGTATAATTTGTAACTATATTACAAAAGTATATATGTATTTTAATTAGATCATTGAACCTTTAGTATCAAGATGTGTTAAATATAGATTTAAATCTATTCCTGAGAATGAATAAATAGAAAGACTTAAGTATGTTGCTGATTGTGAATCTGTAACATATAATTTGGATGCATTAAAATAATTAGTGATTGTATCTGGTGGTGATCTTAGGAAGAGTGTAAATATGCTTTAAAGTTCATCAACCTTATATGAGAAGTCTATAAATAAAAAAGCTATAAATGAAATATCAGGAGTAAAAGATAATAATAAATAATTTAGTTTATTCCAGATGAATAAATAGAAGATCTTGTATCTGTAATTTAAACTAAGAGTATAAGAAGTGTTTAAGAGGAATGCAATAGAGTTATATAATAAGGATATAATATTGAATAGTTGGTTATTTATTATTTAATTATCATAGATTTTACAATTTTTAGATCTTGTTTTAATAACAAATACAATTAAAGAAAAATAAAAAGCAAAGATGATGGAAATAGCAGCTTATACTGAAAAATGTTTAATTGAAGGATCAGCTGAAGACTTGCAAATATTTAACTTAATGGCTTAATGTTAGCGAATTATAAATGAAAATTGATTTAATTAATTTTATATATTAATAATGATAACAAATCACCCCGCTTATCCTATAAAAGAAATAGATAAATATTATTTACAAACTAAATTACCTGAGTAAATTATATATATATATATATATTAGATATTAAACAATTCCAATAAATAATCATTAGAAAAAGAATCATGATTATTATAATGATAACACCCATATTTGGAACAATCCTCATCAAGCTTAATCAAATACTAAATTATTCACATAACTAAAGGAACAATAAAAGCGGGGTGAAAAGAGAATAAAGAAAATGTTAGAACTCTAATAATAAGATAAATTGGAATTATAAAAGAATAAAATTATTTATTATAATCTTGCAAGAGATGAAGATTTAAATAGATTATAATAAAGAAAAATGGAAAGAGGAAGTCTTTAAAACTTAAGTTAATAATAAAATGATGTCTAAGTAGAAAATATTGTTTTAAAACCTATTTTCTCTAGAACTGCTCTTTTGGGTAGACCTGATCATTTATGGAATAGATTAAATCAATAATCTTAAAAACATATAAACATACTTATTAATCCTAGAATTCTTAAAATGGAGGAATAAGGAGTTAAATTCATTAGTGAAAAAATTAATAAAGATTTATAAATTGAATAAATCAAAGAAGATTTAAGACTTAAAAATATGGATTAAATCAAACAATAAAGTACTCGTAGAAGAATTCTCAATTTAGAATTAGAATAAAAAAGTGGAATATCTCCTTCAAGATAAAGTCTATAAAGAGTAACTACAGCATTAACTAGACAATCTAAAGATATTATTGAATCTACACTTTAATAAATTGAAAAATAGTAATAATCTTAGACTATATAATAATTTCATAATCAAATTCTTACATCATCATAATAAAATAATCACACCAGCAGACCATATACTGTTGGAAGTGTACTCAATTAAGAATTTAATTCTGTTTCATTTAATAATTGTTTAACAATCAAAAATGAATAAACTTAAATTTAATCTACAAATCAACCCTAGACTACTACTCCTGTTTTAATGTTAAGTAGGTATTTCATATGTTAAATCTTAGTTAAAAATCTAAATCTGCATATACTTTATCCCATAAACATCCTCTTGATAGAACTGAATATAAAGGTTTATTATTAGCACAAGCTGTTGAATAAGCAGAAAGTACATTCAGTAAAACTTTATAAGCCAATAGTTCTTTATTAAAAGAAACATCAATATATTTAAATAAAAGTAGATAATAGATGAATCCTAAAAAGAGAAGATAGCTAAAATGTAGCAATCTAATAAATAATTAAAAATAGAATGATTCTAATGATTTAAAAAATGTTAATAATATGTTGGATAGTTTTGAAAGAAAATTATACAGATCTCGTAATTTTGATGAGGAAGAAATCTGAAAATTTAGTATATTATCTATATATTTTTTTTAATCGATTTCAATTTAAATTAATAATTACTAATTTTATTTGTTAAAAGAGAATATAAAATTATAGAATTAAATGAGATTTAAAGAGATATTATTATTACATTCTTAAAAGAAGTAATATATATGTATATATATTTAGTTATTAATATATCTTAATCAATAAATCTAAAAATATTCTTAATATGTCAAATTTCATCAATAGATTAATTTTGACTAGATTTGTTTAGGTTCTTTTTTGATGATTGTTATTTTGTAGGCATAAAACTTGATGTAACTGTTAAAAATCTACCATCTCTAAAATTATTAACTTCCAACATTTTTTAATTTAAATGTGTTATACCCAATCTTGTATTTGTATATTTCTTTATTAACATATATAATTACCTACATGAAGCTAGGTAACATTGAATGTTAATCACATTCCCTTTCTAACATAGTATTAAAATTAGGGGCTGTTGGAGAACTAAATAGTTAACTTTTAGGTTTTTTAGAATATTCATCATATTCAAAATAACTTTCAAAAGTATATGGAGGTATCTTTGTCAAAATATCTTTTCTTTATTCTAATTTATAAAAAGGTGCTCCACAACTACCCAACTTTCTAAATTAATTAAATAAATCTACTTTTTGCCAAATTCAAAATTAGGTTTATAATCTGGTGCAAATTCTTTCTTTTTATAAATTAACATCTAATCTCTGGATAATTACTTTTCCAATTTAATTTATGGTTGTCTTGGTATCTTACTCCATTAGTTAGTTACATTTAAGTATTGAAATCTATCTGGATGAGGATTGGGTCTTCCTGAAAATATGTCAGTTCTATTTTAAAAAGAAATATAAACCTTGGTATTTATCTTTACAAATCTACAAAACTTTCATTTTTAACTTTTGGTTTATCAATAATAGGAGTACTATAATAATAATAGATGAATATACTCTATAGAGAAATCTTAATGATATTTAGGGGGGACTTCGATGGGAAGAGTATGTTTCAAAGTTTTATCATAATTTGGAACTGAATGTATTGCTCTGTCAAAAGTATAGGATATTGATGTTACTTGTCTAGTTCACTATATTTGATATGATATTATCCACAAGATGCTTTACAATTGTTTCTAATTTAAGTATAATGTCCAATTTATCTGGAGATCTATTTTGAAAAGGGTTATGATAATTTTAGAAGATGATTTAGATGATTTTATTCAGCTTCATTAAGTGATTCTTATTTAGAATGTACTTTTTTTTTAGTTAAATCAGGAGATTTGATTGATTGTGGTGTCTTAAATTTTTTAACAGGATGATCATCTCTATGTTGAAATACAATATATTTTTCAGAAGTTATTTTTCCTGCCTTACTAAACATATTTTATAAGTCATTTTAATTATGTATCAAAGCCATTTTTAATAAATAATAATATTACTAAGAGGATATTAAGTAAGTGACATTTTATTAAATAATATAATAAAAATGGAAAAAATGGAAATGGTTTCATCTCATTTACCTCTTGTAAAAGATAGAGGTGAATGGAATCAATAAACATTTATAATAAGACCAAAATTCGAAAAGAAACAACGATAAAGTATTGACAATTAATTGGAAATACAGTTTCCATTACATAGAGACTTTGACTTTGTAGCTAATCATGCTATGGGTTTTAAAGGAAAAGGAAATGTGGACTTATTTAAATTTTATTATAGATTGTACATGAAGAATAAATTTGCAATACAGAAAATTAGAAAAGAAAAGAAAGCCAAAGATGGATAAAAAATGAATGAAAAAAATAAAAAATAATAACTTAATTAAACTGAAGAACCAAATACAGAAGAGATACGTAATGCTTACAAAACAATATAGATTAAACCACCATCTTAACAGAAATAACTGAAATTTGTTAGAGAATGCATTAAAAATTTATAATAATAAGCTGCCATTGTCAATAAACATATAGAATTACCTAAATTAGTATCTCCATAAACTCAAATCAAAATAGTTAATATAGATACATCTAAAATTCCTTAAGCTAAAACAAGAGATTAATAATTGGAACTTGAGGAATTAATGTTAAGTAGAGTAGTTTAAGCAATATAAGAATCTCAAATGGTTTCACATGAAGATGTAAGAAAGGTAAGAGAAATCATTATGTAACGACACAGTTAATTAAGTGAGATGGAAAGAGAATTATAATTAAATTAAATTCTTGGAATAAAAAAATAAATCTATGAGAGAGAGATGGCATTAAAGAATGAACTTAATAAACCTCCAGGGATTGATAATCCTGATAATTTTAATGAATTAAGTTCAATTTAAGAAGTATCTATTATTAGATCAATGCAATTTAAATCATAGCCTAATGTAAGTGTTACTGAATATAAATTTAATAATTATGAAGATGAACCTGAATTAGAAGATATAACTAATAAAACTAAAATAGATTTAAAATAAAAATAAATAGAAGAAACAATTATTTAAGAATAATCAACTGAAATGCAATCTATTTTATAATAAATTAGATCAAGTTCTCTTGTTACAAAAGGAAATGAAACTGAACATAGTAAAGAAAAGTTATAAGATAAAAATAAATTATTACCAACTTTAAAATTCTTAGAATAAGCAAAATAATAAATTGCTCAAAGATCTGATAATAATGATAGTTAATAACTCTAATAACCATACTTTTAACCTGATATTGAAGATACTAGTAAATCTAAGGTTTAATAAAGTTTATCTATGGTATCATAACTATAAAATAAAACAAGTAAAACCATTAAATCTAGTGTCAATAGATCTAATCAATTGGCATCTTCATCATCTAATCATCATTCTAATTAGTTAAGTCTTGAAAAGAAATAAACAGAAACTATGAGAAAGAGTGCTTACAAATTAAATGAAGAATAGAAAGCTAGAACATCAGCAAAAGAACTTGATGTAAGTGATGATATGAAATTTGAGAGATAGAATTATTATGAAATGAAATTCAGTTAAATTTTATAAAGAGTTATTGATTAAAAGAAAATTCATGGAGGAGAAGAATCTTAACATTCTTAAACACTTTCCTAAGTTGAATCTGAAACTGTTTAAAAAATAACATAAAATTTGGTATCTAATATAATTAATATGCACAAAAATCCTACTCCAATTATGGATCAACCTTCAACTTTCAATTACTTAGATGTTGACTCTGATGATTAAGAGAAAGCAACATAAAGTATACCTGTTATGAAAAATGAAGATGTTCCTGAAGAATTACGTAGACATCTTTCTTACAATCGAGATATTTCTCATTTAGATCATACATTTAAAATTGAGAGCCAAGTATCTCTCTCTGATAAAAGATTGAATGAAGAATAAATTGCTAATATTATCTAATAGATTTCATAATAATTACAATAGGCTCAAATACCTCCTGATCAAATTGAAAAATAATTAGATGAAGTCACAAATATGTTACTTAAACATCCTATTAATAAATTATCAACTAAATTACTCAAATAATCCACAACTATTCTATAAAATGAACCAAATAGGAAAATTTATTTAGAGGAAACTAGATATCCAGCTAAACCACCTAAGATAACTCATAATAAAGATTAAATTGATTATTTAAAATTTTATGAAGAAAATGCTCCATCAAAATAAGAAAAATCAAGGAAAAGTTATAAAATTTAAGATAATTCTAAAAGATCCAAATAATCTGCTATGCTCAAAAATATGTCTGAAGATGAAAGAAAACAATTTTTAGATTCTCATAAAATGAATCTTTAAGAAAGAGCCAATTCTTAAGAAATGGATGAAGAGTTATAATTTTTATAATCTGTGATTGATGATTAAAAGAAATAAAGAGAATAAATATTCACAAAGAAATTATCTTAACCAATTTAATCAGGTAAGAACACATCAAGAGATTAAATTGATTTTGATGAATCAAGTGAAAAATAATAAAATACATTTCGATCTCATAATCCACCAACTAATATAAATTATGAATCTGATTAAATTAAATAAGGATAAACTGAAACCAATTTTAATATAAGAAGACCTTAAATCAAATAAAAAACAGATTAAACTTTCAATAAATCTGATAATGCTTAACAATTTTAAATCTCAAGTTAATAAGGTACTTAAAGATCAGATCCATATAAAAGTAAGTCTAAAAGATCAAATCAGGATGATTAATAAGCATATTAATATGAAGGATCATAATAATCTTATGGAACTTATAAAAGTTAAAAATAAGGTAATAGGGAGAGTAGTGATAAAGATAATGAAAATAAAGAAATTTATTCTCCAAATTTATCAGTTGAAGAAGTACCTCATTAAGATGAATATGATGAATAAAGTGAAAAAGAAGAGGAATAGATTGTAGAAGAGATTTAATAATAAATAGATGAAAATGGAAATACAATTAATGTGATTACAAAAAGAACTATTAAATAAGTGACTGAAAGATCAAAGAAATCAGATCCAAAACAAACTGAAAGATCAAAGAAATCAAAATAATAATCTGATTCATAATCATAATAACTTTAAATTAATAAATAAAATCCAAGAGAAAAAACTTAATAATCTTAATATAAAGAATAAGAATAAAATTAGGATTAATAGTAATAAAATTAAGAATAAAATATTATTTAATAATAATAATAATCTATTTAAAAATAAATATCAAATTAATAATAATAATAAAATTAATAAGACTAAATAAATAATAATAATAATGAAGATAAATTAATTAAATTAAATTTTCAACGTTAAGATAGTAATTAAAATATTGCTGAAAATTCTTAATCATAATAATAAATTTATTAATAATAATTAAGAAATAGAACAAATTTATAAGATATATAATTAAAGAGTTTTTAACCTTCTTAAAATTAATCATTAGTTAATAGTAGTGGAACTCCTTAATAAAATAATACTCCTCTTTAACCTCCTGGAAGAAAACAAGGAAGTAAGAAAACTAAGTTTGAAGATTAAAGTAGCAATAATAATAATAGTAATACACCTTAAGCAAAATTTTAAAGAGTAAAGACAAAACTATCAAGATTTTAGGAAGCAGCTAATAATAATGATGATGATGATTATGATTATGATTGGGATGATGAGGATCCTAGTAATAAAAAGAAGAAAAATACTTCAAAATCAAGTAAATCCACTTTAAGAAATGATATTCAATCACCATCTGTTTCTCCAATGACAAAATAATAAAATTAAGCTACAATAGCAAAAAAGAAAGTTTATGATTTAAAATAAGAATATGAATTAATAGCAAGATAAAATTTAAGTTTAGCAGATCTAAAAAAAGATATATAGAAAAAGATTTCACAATTATAAAATCCAGATGATGAGGCTAAATATAATATTTATTTATGTAAATTTATTTGATTAAAATTTTAGATGAATAACGTTAAAAGTAATTAAAAAATTTACCTTAAACAATTGAAGGATTAATTAATGATAAAAGGGAAAATGAAGATGCATGTGGTGATACTATAAGAAAATTTCATGAAAATAGAATGAGATATAAAGATGTAATAGAAAAGGATTAGGCACTTAAGTTTACTAATCAAATATAATTAGATGATGAATAGTAAACTTAAATAAATACTCAATCTCATCTTGATGAATATATGAGAGAAGTATAAATGAATATATAAAGAATGATTTAATAAGTTTAATTAGGTAATCAATAAAATAAATTTTATTAGAATAAATGAGAGATCATCCAGAAGAAAGAAGAGAATGTTTTGATTATGATACGAGTATTATTATATAAAGGAAAATGGAATCATTGACAAGTGAGATTGTATAAACACAAGCATAAATGAAAATATATGAAGAACCTACTTAAGAGACTTAGAGGAAAACAGAAAAATTAGAATAAGATACTGTAATGTCAAATTAGATTGATAAAAAATTTGAAGTTTTAGCATAAAAATTAAGAGCTTTAAAATTCAAGAATCCAGATAAATTTAATTAAATTGTAAATACAGAGATTGTAAAAACAGATTTATTTTTATCAACTACAAAACATAAATATATATTAGAATGATTAAAATATTATTAATTAATAAATCTATAATATATTCTTATATATATATTATTATAAGAAATAATCTAATATATTATTAATTTAAATATAATTTATTATTAATATATTAAAAGATCTGTCTTAATATTGATATAAAATCATTATTACAAATATTAATCATATATTATATTATATCAATATGTATCATAAAAAATTAAATATGCTTCACCTTATTATGGTTATTTTGTAAGAGTTACTCTAATGTCAGAAGTAATATACCATTCACATTTTTTGTATTATTTATTTCGACTCATTGATGATTCAAGATCTTAAGCAAATGTTCTTTTAAATGTAACATAATGACCTAGAATGATGATTAAGATACTCACCAGATTTTGAATTTCCTAAATGACAAACTAATGCAGATAAAGTATATTCTTTATCAGCTACTTTAAAATTAGAATCCAAATAAACTGGATCATCCAATTTAATCAAACCATGATAAGGATCTACAATGAGTCGGTTAACAAAGAAACAAAAGGTTTTCTATAAATATAAATTAATTTAAATACTGGATATTTTGCAATATGAGTTTAACGTGTAACAGTTCTTTTAAGACATGCTTTCTAGGGATCTATTTTAAATTAATTTCCTTCAACTGCATTTAATTATTCTATGATTTTCTTAAGGATAATTAAAGAATCCTCATCATAACTGTTAGCTGAGAGATATTAATCAATTATGTTCTATTACTCATTCAATGTGTATTTCTTTCTTAAAAATTATAAAGAACAATAGAGACAAATATATTCAGTGATTATTTCAGGTTTCTAAATATAATCTATTGCTTCTTGAATTGTTCTTGCATGATTAAGATGAAAATGGAATGCATAATTACTTTCTACTTTAAGTGAATTAAACTATATTTATTAAAAGATTATTACAGAATAATTACAAGTATTACATTTAATTTAAACTTTTGTATGATGAAGAAAAGGATTCTTGGATTTCATTTATTTTGATTTTAACATACTTAAATCAAATGAATTTACTTAATTATTGGCTTCTTCAATATGTTTCATTAACATATTAAATAATTCATGAGAATCCTATTATTAATAAAAAAAAGAGTAATCAGCATCTTCAGATAAAAGATCAATTAAATTAGATGCATTTATAACTTCCAAATCACTATTTAGGTACTTCATTATTTTAGCCAATTCTAAACAAATCTACTAATCTAAAGTAGTTTGACCATTAATATGTTATACTAATTCAAATAAATATTCAACGAAATTTGGTTATGAACTTAAGGCCACTAATTATGTTATTTATCGTACTTATAATACTGAATTCAAGAAACATGTATTTCCATTATTTATTATACCTGCTGGCTTCTTAGTGTAATCAAGAATATTGGATGATTAAAGTAAACTGAATTCTATTTAACCTGTTAACTTTGATTATTTAGATTTCATTGTATATTTGAATGCACCAAGCATTGCTAACATTAAAGCACCTCCATACAACCAATGACTTTTATTTTTAATCATATTTATATTTAAAATAATATATTAATATATTTAAGTAATTTATTTCAATAAATCACTTTTGTAATGTAAGCAAACACCAAAGTCCCTGTGGATATCCATAAGACTCTTGAAGATAATTTTAAAGCTATCAAAGAGCAGGGAATCAATGAAATTTGTAATTTCATGTTATCCAGTTTACGTGAATAGGTAACTTTAATTTTAAATAAATATCCCAAGGACTTGCCATAATACATAAGATTACAGTATTTGTATAATGTCCGTTAGATCAATTAGAAAATGAGTTTGACTGAATTGTGCAACAATCAATTGGAATTGAACATAGTAAACAATATCAAATATGTATTCTCAATGCAGTATGATAGAGTATGGGTAAGATTTAGATTAATTACTGAATTAAATGGATACATCCCTCATTCCCTCATGTGAATATTTGAGACCCATCCCCTAAATATTAACACCATAATGGGAAGAGATTTCACCTCAATTTATACATCAACCAATTTGGGATTATAATATTAATCCATTCCTTTTTCGATTTCTTTTAGCATAAGCACAATCTTCCAAGTTACCCCCATAAGATTAATAGATGATCTTGACTCTATTCAAGTCTGAATATAAAATTGATATTACACAATTCAACAATCTTGTGGAACACAATCCTTAATTGGTTAGTGATATCATTACTAAACTACACTAATCTGGAGTTAATGTTCATGAGTAACTTTTAAATTATTATCATTTTCTAGATATTTAGATTTCCTCATTCAAATTAAAGTCACTATCTAAACTTTAGAATTAGTGAATCAACTCACTAAGAACATTACTCTTCCTGATTAATTTCTAAATATGTTCATTACTAGATGCATTGTAACTTGTGAAGAAGTCAAATAAGTAATATTTTCATTTCATAACCAATTTAGAATCAATAATAATTAGCCAGATAAGTCAGACTAGTATCAGTCTTCATTAAGACTCTGATCAAATAAAAGACTTTCAATCCTAAAAAGATATATGTTGAACTCTAAGGATTTTGTTTAGAGTTTTCTTCTATTTAAGAAGCAACTCAATTATTTAAAGCTATCAAAAATGCTGTTCAGGAACAATGAGTTTAAATAACAATATAATATTTTATAATTATTTCTTATGAGATACTTCCATGTAGAATCTATTCATCTAATGGAAGAAATTAGAAAAAAAACATACTAAGAGTAGAGTGGTAATGTCTTCTATATTTAGATTACTTAAAGTATTGTAGAATCAATATTAGATACTTATATGATTTTATTGTTTTTACTTCAATTTCAATTACAACAAAATAACTTATTAAATCACAATAGTTTCAAAGAATGCATTATCCACCAATCTAAATTGGTTTATTTTTACTTAATCCATCCATTCAAGAAAAAGAACTAAAAAAAATTATATATAAATATAACCTTAAATCGAAACTTAAACTAAATAAATGTTTTCATTTACTACAATGAAAGAATCCTATATAATTAGCAAGATTTATAGAGAAACTAAATTAGTAAAAAGATGAGTTTAAACATATCAATCATAAATTATAGATTTAACATAATCAATAAACTACTAAAACATAATCAATAAACTACTAAAATAAGAAATCTAGAAATAAACATGGATGTAGATTTAACGAAAGAAAAAATTAAAGAATTTATAACCAAGTTGATTAATTTTTTCAATAAAATATCAATACTTAAGAATTTAAAAGAAAGTACATGAGGATTGGATTAGCATGGAATTTGGCTTATAATTGATTGGCAAAAGAAAAGGCTTAAAATTTTATTTATTTATTTCATCTAATTTTTGATGCTAAAGTGAAATAAGAAAGATAACATGATGGTATTTGGAAATCAAGGAGATTTGTATTCATTTATTTTATTTTTGAAATTATCTTAATTACAAAAATAATAAGATAACAGAATTATTTTTTTAATTAATTTATAATTTTGTATAAACTTTTTTCTCATTTTTATACTAAAACTGCTTTTAGCAATTAGTCAATTTGTAATTTATTTTTTATAATTTATGCTTTAATGTTTTATATTTTAGATTTTTTCTCTTTAATAACCTCCTCAACTTCAGCTATTTTATCATATAATGGTTATTATGCCTAAATATTTATTTATTATAAATACTTCTTCAGTAGCTCTATTCATATCTACCATCTTTTGTTTAGAAACATTATAGATCTTTCTCCATTATTACAATTCCCTATTCATATTCTCAATATCATCTTAAATAAATTCAATTTATTTAGCCAAAGGATTTACATTTTGACTCATAGATTGGATTAGTTTTTACATCACAATAGTATCTGAAACTTGTGATGTTCCTAAATTTTAAGCTATTTCTTCCTTAATTTTATCTACATTTATAATTAATATTAATTACCTTTTTGTACATTGACTTTTCCTATCCTCTTCATTTTAATTCCTTCTTATGGTTAATCTTTTTCTTTTTCTTCCTCCTTTGCCTTCTCTTAATTTTTCATATTATCCCTAACGAATTTACCATATTCTTAAGCATTAATATCAGTGTTTGGTTTCACATTACTTTAAACTACAATACCATCATCATCATCATTATTTCCTTTCCCTTCTATAATTACATTTGCTGTTCCTCCTTTCTTCTAATTTTAATCAACTGAAACTTGATTTGTAGGCAATTAAGGTGGTCTTTTTTTAGCAGTTGAAGGTCTGACATTTCCCTCTTGTGTTTATTATTATTATTGTTATTAAGGAGGAGGAGCTTATTGTTATTTTTAATTCTCTTTTGGTTATTAAGCAGGAGGTTATTGAGGTTATTATTTTGGCTTAGGATCTTCTTTAGGTTGAACTGCTTTCTTTTCCTCTTTTACTTATGGAGCAGCTTGCTCTTTTGGAGGAGGTTATTAAGCCTTTGGTTCTGGCTTTGGCTATTCTTTTTTTTAGGGTTCAGGTTCTTTGGCTCCTGCTCCTCCTAAAATCTTAATTATTAATTATTAATTATATGTACTTTCTTAACAAAAGGATCACTATTTTTACCACTAACAGCTGCTCTATAAATTGCTTATAATAATAAATTAGTATTCTCTGGTTCTAAACCTGCAGCTATTTTACCGGGTTTAGCAGCAATTTCTTCTTTCAACATCATTGATGTTAAATCTATAATTTTTTATAAGAATAAAAGTTTCTTGTCTTTATTATCATATGAATTTCCATCTAATTCATCATTTGTATATAATCCTTTTGCATAACCTAATGTAAATTTAAATTTGAAACCTGTTTATTTAGTTGTTTCCATAATAATATCAAAAATATATTTGAATGGAGGTTTTTCCAGTAATTTCTATGACATTTTTGGCTTTTCAAATAAAGCACTATATAATTCAGCTGTAGGTTTCCAAAAATCTCCCATTATTTTATTAAAAAAAAAGAAATATAATAATAATTGAATATTTATGTTTTTATTTATATTGTGAAATCTATAATATCACTAAAATGAATATTTATCATTAATATATATATGAAGAGGCATCTAAGAATCTAATAAAAGGACAAAAAATAAAAAATAATTATGTATAAATAGAAATAATTAATTTTTGAATAATAATGCTATTAGTTGGTATAATTTAATATTAATAATTAGATATATTTTATATTTGATTTAGAACAGATACCTATATTTTGAATTAAATAATACAAAAACTATAATTAAATAAATTCAAACTATATTTACAGTTTTAATATCATAAACTAAATCGTTTATTCTGTTAGAGATGAATCGATTACTATTTTCTATTTATTTAAACATTCCAAATCTATCTTCAAATTCAGTTAATTATTTCATTATTGAACTCTCCATTACTCGAGTATTCATTTTATAAGAGTCATTCAAAATTAGTTTAAATTAATTATAACTTTCTTTTTTACCTAATTTTGAAAATTATTGCATAACTTCAACTTCCTTATCTTAAAAATTATTATTAAAAAATACTTAGTAATTTTTATTTTTGATTTAATATAGTTTATTCTAACAAACGGTAAGAATCATCACATAATTTTTTAAAAAGATCATCTAATTTGTCCTAAAAATCATAAAGTACATGTAAAAAGAATTAATCTGGCTTATTTTTTTTTAAAATTAATTTATTGTCATTATTGATAGTAAAATTTTAAAGTATTCTCAGAAAAATTGTATCTACAGATTACCAATCTTTTAGTTTAAAATTCTTGAAAATCCATTCTATTTCTTAAAATCTTATGTGAGACTTAATTAATTTATCAGCTGCAGAAAGAATTGCTTTTTCACTCTTATATTCATGTAACTAATTCATTTTTTGACTTATTTTATTTACTATTTAAAATAAATTGGTATCTTTGAAAGGGGTTTCTTTAATTTGATTAACTACTTCCATGTTTAGATTAATTAAGGAATTATTTCTAAATTGCATCTTTCTTGAGAAAAATTAAGGAGATTAAAATTTTGATAATTTTGGAGATTTTCGAGCTGTCGAGATTAATTATTTTGATTCAATTGCCTAATCTGAATTTTCTATTTTTAATTTTCTATATTATCCAGTTGAGTCTAAAAGTGGTTGAAAAGGAACTTATGGAAGTTCTGAGTGTTTAAAGATTTTTTTTAATTAGTTCTTTGACTTTGTACTTGTGACTGCTTCTATTGAAGGTAGACTGTCAACTCTTACTTTGATTTCTCTTTTTTAATTCAATTATTTTTACATCTTTTTAAAATAATAATAGCTATAAAAATTAATATTATCAAGTATCTATATTTATTTTTTATATAATTTTAAATTATCATATATTTTATTTTATTTGATTATTAAGGATATTAAATGTATATTTTAATGATAAGTAATCTATAGTATTCTGGTTTAAAGGATGGATCTTGTTTTAATATATTATTGATATCTTATTTAATATTTATAATATAATTGATATTTTTAAGTTTGTTGTAGAATAATAAGATAAATTTAAATATATTATATTATCATTAAAAAAGAGATTTAACTATTATTATTAATGATATAAAAATATTAACAACATATTCCATTATATAGATTAATTATCTTAAATAACTTCTATCTAAAATAAATTGATAACAAATTTTTTATTACAATTATGTTAGTATTTTAAATATTTCTTGTTTGCAATTTAATTGAGAAAATTAAAGAAAGAATTTGATTATATATTATTATTGGAATATTTTGAAAATAATTGATAAAAATAATAGAATCTTCAATTTTATAGATTTAATAAAAACTTAAGTATTTTATATATTTCATATTAAGTTTTGTTTAAATTCGTTTAACTTAATTTTCAAGATTCTTTCGCAATTTATTTTAATTATGATTTTAATGCCTAAATTTATTATTCTAAATTAATAATTATTGCATCTTTCTATTTTAGTTCATTTTCTAACCCATATATTTATTACTGTTATTATTCTATAATTTATTATGGTTATAAATTATTGATAGAATTTAACTATTCTGGTTTTTTATTATGTTCTTGAACTTAACCTATTTCTTTAGGACATGCTCCTATCTTTGCTAATACCTAAATCTTATATATAAGTTATACCTATTCTACATAAAATTTACTATCTTTACCACTCACAGCTGCTCTGTAAATTTATATTAATAACTAATTTGTATTCTCTGGTTCTAAACCAATTACTATTAAAGTAGGTTTAGCAGCAATTTCTTCTTTCAACATCATTGATGTTAAATCTATAATTTTTTATAAGAATAAAAGTTTCTTGTCTTTATTATCATATGAATTTCCATCTAATTCATCATTTGTATATAATCCTTTTGCATAACCTAATGTAAATTTAAATTTGAAACCTGTTTATTTAGTTGTTTCCATAATAATATCAAAAATATATTTGAATGGAGGCTTTTCCAGTAATTTCTATGTCATTTTTGGCTTTTCAAATAAAGTACTATATATTTAAGCTGTAGTTTTCCAAAAATCTCCCATTATTTTATTAAAAAAAAAGAAATAATAATAATAAAATTATTGATATTTTTAATTTTGATTGATCACAAAAAATATTTTTGAAAATGCTATATTAAATTTATTTATTGAAATATATTTATTCTAAGTATGCTTACTTCATTTAATATATAATTCCATGTCTTTTTAACTACGTGATTGGTTAATTATCTTAACCATTTACATTTTACTTATGATTAATAAACAAGATTATCTAGGAAATTCTTGGATAAATTATTTTCATTATTAAATGAGGATATAAATTAGAAAGATTATTAATAAATATATATAAATAAAACCTAAAATTTTTAGATAATCATTTATACTAACTGATTTGGTTATTAAATGATCCTTGAGGGGTATTTTGTTGAGATGAAGGAAATTGATTTTGGAATCCTTTTTCTGAAGATTAAATAGGTCTAGCTATATTCAATTTTTATTAAAAAGTATAGTTATGCAATTCATTTTCTAACAATCTAATACGATTATCTTATTGTATTATTTATTCCTAAAATAAAATATGATAAATTACTCTCATCTTTTTCATTTCATTTTCTTATTAGCCATTCCTCTCTGAGATGATCTGATTTTATTATTTTAGTTAATAATTTTCTTTAATTTATATGATTATTATTACCTGATAATATTTATTTTACTTATTTTTCATACAAAATAAGATCATTATGCATTTCTTTCATTTTGGCAAAATTATGATTAATTTCACTTTTGTTTTATGTATCAATATGAGATATTTATTCTAGTTATCCTTTTTAAGTTTAAAGTTATTATTCCAAATTGAGTATAATTGTATCTTTCTTTTTGAGTTCATTTTCCATTGCTTATATTTATCCTTGATATTTTTCTAAGTTTGATTTCAATTCCATATATTTTAATTAGACAGAGTCTAGATTTCCTTATTTTTTAATTAATTCTTAATCTAATTATTAACATTATAATTCAAGTTAATTTTTAGATTTTGATTATTATAAAGATTATTCAGATAATCTCTTATTTTCTTATTCTAAATGAATTAATTTTTATTGTAAATTCAAATATTCTTATTTACCATTTTTTAAAGTCATTAGAAGTTTGTCAATTTCTTTAGTTTCTAAATATTAAGTTTAAAATAATACATTTAATGGTTTATTATGTTTAAGCTTAAAACTTTTCATCTAATTTTAGATATTGATTTTTAGTACTATATAATTCCTTTTCTTTAAGTTCTAGTTATTTAACCTATTATTTTTGTAATTCAATTTAATGAGTTTGATTGGCTAAGTTTTTTTACAATAAACTTAATTATCCTTATAATTCTGTATTTTAAATAGTAGCTCTATGTAAGGCTTCATTATAACTATCTTATGCTTTTTTAAATTCAAAATTAAGCATATCTAAAGTAGTTTTCATTTTTTTATTATCTGAATATAATTATTCTTATTATTCCCTTTATTGTTATATTTTAACATCTTTGTCTCTTAATTATTATTTATATGCTTCTATATATTCTTTTAGATTATGATTCTCAATTTCTGTATTTTGATAATGAGATAATTATCTACTTTGATCTTGAAGTTATTCTTTAAATTGTTAAATTAATAAAATTTATTCTTAATATTTTTTAGTTAAACCTGAATATTCTTCTAATTTATTTTGTAATCTTTCTAGTTCATTTAATTTAAATTAATTCTCTTATATAAGATCTGCTTTTCTTCTGACTTCTGATTTAAGTTTGACAATCATTTCTTCTTAATAGTCTAATTTGGATATCATTTCTTGTTCCTATGATTTCTGAATTTTATAAGATGACCTAGAATGTATAAATACATATATGTACAATTCCAACTAGAGTTACTCCACTAATTTTTTAAGTGAGTTGTTCTCGAACACTAATTTCTTGTTTTGGGATCTGAATAAAAATAAATTATATGATTACTTTAAATCCTCTCCTTGATCCATCAAATGTTATTATTATTCAAGTAACATTTATTCTTGAGGATTGATTTAGGTTTGGATGTAATTATATGATTGATCTTTTTGAGAGAGATTGGACCTTTATCTAAGAATGATTATATGTTTACGAATGTCGATCATTATCAAGTGGTTGGTGTTATAGACTATAGAAAGTAAGAAAATCAAGATTACAGATTGGATGGGAGTAATGTGTTAAATGGGTGAGGCACAGGAGAAGTTAAGATGTTGAGGCTATTTTGTTTTGGTTTATGTAAGGGATTTGTAACTGGAATATCCTTTTCCTTTTGATAATCACTTTGTGCTAAATTATGATAAGAAAGCATCGGAATAATAAAATAAATAATAAAATATAGGTGAATAGGTTATAAAGAAATAAGTTATTATTCATATTTATATATATAATTTGTAATAATCAATAATAATGTATAGTTCTTTATTAGAATCATCACAATTGGATATATTAAAAAAAATGATTCTATTGTAGAGATATTGATATAGAAATTGAATGATATTGTTTATTAGAATGAAATAATGAATTGAAATTGTTAATAAGTTATTAATAATTAGAAATACTTTATTTTAGAAGTATAATAAATCAAAATGATGGTTTTGATTTATGTTTTTATGGAATTATTATAAATAATATATAAATATGTAAAGATTCGAAAGTGATGTGAATGCTGAAGGAGAATCTTAAGCAGCTTACACTAGATTTGAATCATCACCATCTGTTGGATAATTATCTGGTACTCATTTGGAAAAATAAACAATAATAAAATCAACTATTATTGCATCAATTGGATCATTCATTTTTACTTATGGTATTTTAGCATCAGCAGGCAATAATATGGCTATATTAGTCATATTCTTCTTAAGTGTACTTATGACTGATCGTTTAACTGTATTCAATCCTGCTGTTAGCTTCATTGATTTACTTATGGCTAGAATTGGATTCTAAGAATTTATGTTTAATGTTATTGGATAAGTTGGAGGTAGTCTATTAGGTGCAATGGTGTGTTTCTTTGTTTTATAAGATTTCACTAATGCACCATATTTAGATGCTAAAATTGGTGATAATTTAATTGGAGTATAAAAATATATTCATTAAGTAAATAGTCAGTTGAAGGAGAATTATTTGGATCCATGTTATTTATGATAGTATTGGTATTGTAACAAGATGATTACTTGAGATTCTCAGATGATAAATTAGAACATGCTCTTGTTGTGACATTAGGATTTGGGGCAGCTCGTGTTTTGGCATCAGAAGGACAATCACTTTTTAATCCAGCATTTGCTTTTAGGTATTCTTAAATAAAAAATATTATTAAGTTTGGAATTATTTGAATGTATTTAGGATGGTACTTGGGGTAGATTTGGATTCTTGTGGGTATTCACATGTACTCCCTTTATGGCAGCAGTTGTAGCAATTATGTTCAATAGTCAAATATATAAGAGATTCTATGATAAGAAAATTTAATACGGATTTTGATTTATTAATTATGAATTAAGCATTTACAAAAGAGTAATAGTTATTAGTCGATGAAATAATAAGCAAGGGTTATAATCAAGATGATTTTGAGGACTTTGTTTTACTCAAAGAACCCAATAAAGGTTCAAATCATTTTTTATTCTTTAGGTTAAGATTTAACTTAATGGACCTATGAAGAATTATTGAAAATCATCTAATTATATCAATAAGAGAGTAACAAAATATAATTATTATATAGAAAAAGAACAATTATCAAATTCATATCAAATAGTTGAACTTGATTCTCCAGACATTTCTGATCAAATTCAAATTATTGATAGAGATACTTTTGTTAAAAAATAAACTTTGGAATCCATCAAAATAGTATATTATTTTATTAATTTATATTTAGACTGATAAAATATCCTTGATTCAATTTGAAAAGACAATCAATTGTAAATAAATGTATTTTTTTATTGATGAAAACATTGAACTCTAATTTGATATCAGTCCGTATTTTATTCTAATAACAATCAAGTCCCATTCAAGAAGGAGGTGGCATTCTAGATTTCTTTTCAAAATCTATTGTATTTCCAATTCAAATATTCCCAATGGAATGGAAGGTAAAAAGAACACTTCAAGATTTTATTCAACTTAGAAACATACTATCAGCTGCTTTTCCAGAATATATTGTAAATTATTTTATTATTTAGATTCCTTCTTTTCCTTATAATGATATCAATGACTATGATATTATTATGAAAGAACAATAAAATATTATCAAAGTATTAAATGTAATATCCATTCTATCATTTTATAGGTATTCCTATAAATATATAACAAAAAACCTATTGTTAGAACATTGTTTTCAAGTTTACTATTTTTAAATGAAGATAATTCAAAACAATTTTAATTGAAATTTTACAAAGAATAAACTTTATAAAAATAATACAATTTGAATTAAAAACAAACTAAAACTGGTACTCTTACTTTTTAATTCAATCAAACTCAATATCAAAAATATAAAGATTATTAAATATATTTAAATGGAGAATAAGCAAATTATGAAATCATATAAAAATATTTAGAATAATTTGCTGAATTCACTTATAAAGGTTAATAAAGTCTTGGTTACTCTATAGAAATGATTTAATCTTTGTGTAATTCACTTCCATTATATACAGAAGCTTAAGAATTTGGAAAAGCTTTATGTATGATTAAAACATATTTTGTAATTTGAATTCAATATTTAGATAGCAAACTTAAAAAGATTTTGTATTAAGATCAACAAAATAAATAATGGATGTCTTATTAATAACTTTAGTTAAATTTAAGAATTCAAGATAGTAATTAACTGAACTTAGAACAAATTTGTTAGAAACTTTTTAAAATTTTTCAAATGAATTTAATCTCTTAGAAAAAAGAAAGGAAGAATTATTTTTAATAAGTAAATGTGAATTAAATATAAATTTAGAGGATCTATAAAAATGGGGATTGAATTAAGAATAATAACTTAAGGTTGATATAAATAAATGTTTTACTGATTTGAAATATGCAAAAGAGATTATGTTACCAAAAGATACATTCTATGTAGATGAAAAAAGAGATCAATATGTTTATATGTTAAATAAATTTAATGAATAATATGAATAACAATTCATTATAGAAACTGATAAACTACTTAATGAAATTTAATATTATTTAGATAATATGAGATGTTATACTAATAATTAAGTAATAAATTATTTTATTAATAGCTTTAAAATTGGGATTTCTTAATTTAAGAATATGAAGAATATAAAATATCTTATTAAAAATAGATATATGTAAAATGAGTTTATTAATTGATTTTTTTAACTTTAGTATATTAAATATATATTATTTTTATATAATCAATATTATGTATTTGTGGATTCTTTAAGATCTTCAGTAATTGTAGCTAAATCTTTACTTAATTGAACTCTACTAGGTTTACCTGTAGCAGATCCATTACCTTTCCAATCTGAGTTATCACCATTCCAACTTATGATTAATAATAAATATACTTATCATCAGATTCAGCTTAACCAAATGTTCCTGAAACAACATTATAAACCATTTGAAGTGCAGAAGAATCCATAGATTCAGATGTTTTTATCAAAACTTCTTCAAATTAATTATCATCATGTTATGATGATTAAGGTAACTTTTATAAATTTTACACCTTTATACTTTTTTTATTGATCTAAATTAAATATATTTAAATTGATATACACTTGCTTCATTTAAAGGAATAACTTCGAATCCTTATTCATTTTTCTTAACTTCTTCAAATCCATCCCCTCTAATAATTATTTCTTCTTCAAATCCACTTTAACTTTCTCCTTCCCAATCACATGAATCTTTCTCCTTTAATTAATGAATAGAATCATTTAGTGATGGATGATCACCAGATCTATAGGAACTGATATCTTCATCTAAATGAACTAATGGATTTTCGAATTCTTCAACTTCAATTTATTCATCTATTTTTTAATATATTAAATCTTTAAATTAGGTAGTACCTTATATCTATTAAATAGTCCAAACTTCTAGAATAGATACTTTAGCTTATTTTAGAGGCATCAATTCTCCAGGTTCATAAGTTTTATCATGATTTTTACATTATACATTAATTAGATCTTAATTTAAAAAGACTCTAAATTCTTTAGCTAATTCTCCTCCAAATCCAATTCCTTATTTTAATTCAGAATGTTTTGAATTTAAGTAAGTACATTATGATCTAGTAAATTTATCATTTTTAGTTTTGTAAACTTTAAATTAAGGTAACATTTAAAATATACAATCTTCTTTACTACCATTAGGTTGAGCATCATCTTTCCATTCAAAATTTGTATATGCTCCAAAAATATATTTACGATTTCCTTCTTCACATTAAATTAAGAATAATACACTTGTTTAACATTCAATAAGTAGATTAGATAATAATTCAAAGTTTCTTTCATGAACATTAGTAGAATATAGTAATTCTAATTTATTACTATCTTTATGCATGAAACTCAAATACATAAATGCTATCCATTCTTAATTTAATATATGAGATGGATGTTATAATTAAGGATTACGAAATAATTTTTATTCTCCTAAAAATTTATTGTAATAATAATCTTCAACAATCTCTTCTAATTGTGACATGTAATTATCAAAGAATTTAATTAACTACAAAATTGAAACATTACCATTAACTTTTTAGAAAATTGAATCTACAAATGCTTTTATAGGTTATTCATTAAGATTCTATTTTCTTAACATCATATTAATAAACACTTGCATACATTTTGTTGTCTATAAATAAGTAATTTCTAAAGATGTAAATTATTTGATAGCATCCTTGATATTCAAATTACCAAATAATGATACAATTAATACAATTAAAGAAACTCTATTTGGTAATCTTAATATTTCATTTTCTGATTTACCCAAAACAAATACCTCTGATATTTAGAGCATTGTTTCATATTCAATTCCCTTCTATTCATTATTTTGTAGACCTAACAAAAACCAATACATGCTTTATCCCAAAATAAGACTTTCATCAAACATCTCAATGAAATTGTCTTCAAATAACAACAGTTATTTACGAGATCTAACAATTTTCATAATAAACTATACTCTGGATTTGTAAGTGTTTATCTCATAAATGCTTAATGAATATACAACTTCTAAGGTTTCTCAAGATTAGTTTATATTTTTGTTCTGTTTGTCACACAATTACCCATTATTTTGATTAATTTTATGTATATATATATATAAATAAATAAATATACTTACAATAGAAAAAATGATAGCAATTGAAAAAATAATAATTATGAAAGAATAATTATAATGATTAGAATTCATCTTACTTTACATTTAATCAATTATATCTCATTTTCTCTTTTTTCTTAGATTCTAATCTTTTTATCCAAGCTCTTCAATCTTATTACGAGAACTTTAATAATTTAAATATAATAAATACATTTGAGCTGCTTCATCATCACCCTTCAACATTAATTCTTTATCTTCTCTAAATATTGAATCACTTTGTAGTATATAGGTTGGTTCTTTCCATGGTTATATAGGATCATCTATTCTCCATAAAAGTTCTCCATCCATTTCAAAATGAGATAACCATGATCCTGAACCTTTTGATAAAGTGAATACTTAATCTTCATCATCATCATCAGTCTTTTTAATAATATTATTACATTAATTAATTTATTTATTTTCACATCAACCAAATCTGATAATGGTTTCTATTATTAAGACCAAAACATTAATTTATTTTTTATCTTTTATGCACTACCTTCATATACATAACTGAAATTAATTTAAGCTACTAATTTATCTTATACACATTTTATTGTAAAACTATCTAATTTATTTAATATTCTATCTCCTTTCATTAAACCATTAATAATCATTCCAGGTACTTTTATTTCATATAATTTTCCATCTGCAAATTTTATATATTTTGGTTTAAGATTTTTACCAATTATTTATGTAAATGTTGGATGAATTTCTGCCAAAACTTCTTCTGAACCATAAATTTACCAACCATCACCATAAATTTAATATAATGTTGTTGGAGGATCAGCCTTTATAAATTCACAATAAAATGCTGTTCCATCCTCTTTTACTTTTTGACATGTCTCTCCAATCATAGGATCAATTGGTGCTAATGATCTTAAATAAGTATGTGTTCCATGTAAATAAGCAATTTCATTTGTTACTACCATTATCATTCTTTAGAGAGGATCTTTACATTTTGCAGCTTCCGTAAGATATAAATTAGCATAGTCGTGATCACTTATTGTTTATAAATATTTACAATGTCATGCATTCATTAGCAGTTTTAGGAGCTGTTAAACATATAGGTTTTGTAATAGTAGCTAAATTGAAATCTCCTTTGGCTATTTTTGAACCAATTTATTTTATCATTGCTCCTGCAATCTAAAAAAGCTTTGTATCATCTTCTTAATTCATATGAACACCACCTTTTAAATCTTAGAAAATAAACTAATACCATTTTTATGAGCCATAGGATGTCTTGGATACTAATTATCTTTCTCAAATTTTTATCTCCAACTTTAATTCATAAAAATAAATTTTCAAAAGTTTACAAGAAGAAATTAATTGATTTTTAAGAATAATATATAGAAAAAAAATAAAAATTATTCCGATACCGGGGATTGAACCCGGGTCCCCAGGGTGAGAACCTGATATCCTAACCACTAGACTATACCGGAACTGTTAACATGAACAATTAATTCTCCATTATATAAGGAATAAGTTTTATTTAATTTTTATAAATCATTTATGATTACTTTTCGTTTATTTATGATAACTCTAATGAGTCTTTAATTATTTCCTCTACACCTAATCCAAATCTTTTTCTTCATATGGTGTTTAATCTAATACATCACCTCTATTATTATTAGAATCAAAATTATGTACTTGTAATGTGCATCATTTACTTCTTCTTCTGAGGATGTCTATGCATTAGATACTTCTTTTAATGATATAAAATTTATTACTACATCTTTATTATTTTCAATGCGTCCCTAACTTCGAATCAAAACTAAATACTTATCGAGATTATTCATTTTTACTATCAACATTATTACCTTTAGCATGTTCTTCAATAATAACACTCTAAGTATATTTCATCATCCAATCAAAAAAGTCAATTTCTTCTTATAATATTATTCTATGTTTATCAACCAATTCTTTATCGTATCTTAAATCTTCTTCAGCTACTAATAGAGTATATTCAATTTCCTTCAATCTAGCTTAACATTTATCAACTCTATCATATAAGGTAATCAATTAGTATTAAAAATGCTAGAATTTAATAATTATCATACAGTGATGAGATCATCTTATACTTCAATTTGTCGATTGAATATATCATTCTCATTTTCAATCCTAAATTTGAATTCAGACAATGGAACTCCAATTTATGCTTAACCATTTAATCCATTTACAACAACATCCTCTTATATTTCCTTCTCCATCTAATTTAACAATTCTATCAATTATTCAATAGTTCCACTTAATTCAAAATCTTCTTATTTTATTTATAACATATTCATTTTTTGTACTCCTTATAAGCAGTTACAATCCATTATATTTCTGATATTCTGTTCTCATTTACTTAAGTCAATGATTTTGATAATTAATCTTACAATTTTGCTCTTTAATATGCAATTAATCTCAATAACACTCTTGCACTCTTAAACTCATACAAAAAATTATTATTTTTTTCACAAACATTATTTGAAAGTAGACTAATTCTATCATTATTACTCTCCAATTAAATATCATCCAATTTATGTAATCATTTGCTAAATCTATTTCTGTTTATTTGGCTTCTACCTATTTAATTTATATTATATTTTACGTCTTATTCTCTATTATAACATTCTCCTTTTTGATCAGAGATAGCTGATTATAATACAGCAATTTAATTTAACTTTGCTTATTTAATAGTTTGAAATTCTATATCTAATTATGATAATTGCTCAAAATTCTCTTTTATTTTTTCAGCTAATTATTGGATAAAAACCTCATCGTCTTATACTATAGTACTAATTGTTAAAGTTGCCAATATTAATATAGTTACTCTCATATTGGAATGAAAAATAGATTATAATGGATTATAAATTATAATCAAAATTCTATATCTGCATAGTTTTCACCTGATTAATACTCAAAAGCCCAAGGATTATTAAGTAGGAAATCTTAAGTAGCTTATTTGATATTATGATTTGGATAAAACTCTCCACTTATAGGTTATCTTGTACATGGATCAACAGGTCCATTTTTCTAGATTGCTTCAATTAACATATCTCTCTCATATGTATGACCTGCATCTGTAACTACTGGATTCTCCATAATTTCCTAATTTAATAATCCTAATATATATTTACAAATGTTATTTTGCATATCAAATAACTTGGAATATCATAATTCTATTTTTAATCTGGATTTCCAATAGAATTAATAAATGCATCAATTTCTTTTTTTCTTTATTCTTCATTTAAATCAATTCTTTATTATAAATAATTTGAATAATTCTAAATTGCTTATCTCTTTTTCTAATCTTCTAACTCTTTATTTTTATACCATAATAACTTCTTTGCTCTATAGATGTACTTACTCAATTCATCCTCATAATATTATTTTTTCTATCCTGCACATAAAGTCCTAGCCTTTGTCAATCTATTTATAGCTGTTTCTATTTCATGAGTATTATCCTATGATTTCCCTCTCTCTGCCAATACTTAACCACACAATAAATGAGCCTTAATATTTCTATCATCCAACTCAATTGCCATTATTGCATCTTTATAAGCCTATAAATATATATATTAATGCTTCTACCTATTCTAAATTTCCAATCTTTTTATAAGCTAAACCTCTTGATCTAAAAAAAGAACTTTCTGTACTATCAGTCAATTCTATAGCTCTGTCATAATATTAAATAGCTTTAGTATAATCTCCTTTTTCAAATGACATGTCTCCTAAAATGCACCAATATTATCCTTATGTCTCTGAATAATCAGCAAGTGATTTTTTAACACTTTGCATTTTTTGTAAATTGGGTGGCTACAATATTATTCATTATATTATACTTTAGGAACTTGATCCCTAAATTATTGATTTGTGTAAGGAGGTCTTGGTACTCCTACTCTGATTCCTGGTCCTGGTACAAAGATATCATCAAAAATAAAAAGTGGGAGATCTGATCGAAATATATTACTAACAAATGGGAACATTAAATTAATTCTAATTGAATTTCCTATTGTGTTCTTAATTAACCATATTAAAGATCTAGATTTTTCTTGATTAATCTAGAATAATTAAAAAATATATATATATATAATATAATTTCAAATGGAATATTCCATTCTATCATTAAATGATATTTGTCAATTCTAAATTAATTAAACATTTATTAAAATNAATTATAATCAAAATTCTATATCTGCATAGTTTTCACCTGATTAATACTCAAAAGCCCAAGGATTATTAAGTAGGAAATCTTAAGTAGCTTATTTGATATTATGATTTGGATAAAACTCTCCACTTATAGGTTATCTTGTACATGGATCAACAGGTCCATTTTTCTAGATTGCTTCAATTAACATATCTCTCTCATATGTATGACCTGCATCTGTAACTACTGGATTCTCCATAATTTCCTAATTTAATAATCCTAATATATATTTACAAATGTTATTTTGCATATCAAATAACTTGGAATATCATAATTCTATTTTTAATCTGGATTTCCAATAGAATTAATAAATGCATCAATTTCTTTTTTTCTTTATTCTTCATTTAAATCAATTCTTTATTATAAATAATTTGAATAATTCTAAATTGCTTATCTCTTTTTCTAATCTTCTAACTCTTTATTTTTATACCATAATAACTTCTTTGCTCTATAGATGTACTTACTCAATTCATCCTCATAATATTATTTTTTCTATCCTGCACATAAAGTCCTAGCCTTTGTCAATCTATTTATAGCTGTTTCTATTTCATGAGTATTATCCTATGATTTCCCTCTCTCTGCCAATACTTAACCACACAATAAATGAGCCTTAATATTTCTATCATCCAACTCAATTGCCATTATTGCATCTTTATAAGCCTATAAATATATATATTAATGCTTCTACCTATTCTAAATTTCCAATCTTTTTATAAGCTAAACCTCTTGATCTAAAAAAAGAACTTTCTGTACTATCAGTCAATTCTATAGCTCTGTCATAATATTAAATAGCTTTAGTATAATCTCCTTTTTCAAATGACATGTCTCCTAAAATGCACCAATATTATCCTTATGTCTCTGAATAATCAGCAAGTGATTTTTTAACACTTTGCATTTTTTGTAAATTGGGTGGCTACAATATTATTCATTATATTATACTTTAGGAACTTGATCCCTAAATTATTGATTTGTGTAAGGAGGTCTTGGTACTCCTACTCTGATTCCTGGTCCTGGTACAAAGATATCATCAAAAATAAAAAGTGGGAGATCTGATCGAAATATATTACTAACAAATGGGAACATTAAATTAATTCTAATTGAATTTCCTATTGTGTTCTTAATTAACCATATTAAAGATCTAGATTTTTCTTGATTAATCTAGAATAATTAAAAAATATATATATATATAATATAATTTCAAATGGAATATTCCATTCTATCATTAAATGATATTTGTCAATTCTAAATTAATTAAACATTTATTAAAATCATTTCTAATTATTTATTTAAAGTATCTAATTGTATATCATTAAAACTGGATGAATCAACAAATTAAAATTTTATTAAATTTAAAAATAAATATTCAATAAATTAAATTACCATTCTAAGAATATGATAAAGATATTAATTTATCCATTATTTATGTTTTAGCATAATGTTATAAATATATTAGATTTAAATCATTCATAAATATAAATGAAAAATTATTATTATATAGAATATATTATAAGTTTGAGTAATTTAATTTTACATCATCTTATTAAATATTAAAATAGTAAAGATATAAGTATTTTCTATTTTTACGATTAATCTACTTATAAAAATACTTTAAATTTTGAAACTTCAATTCTCTAACCAAAAAGATATTAATTTGATTTGTTGTTTAAAAAAATATTTATTTATAAGTTTTAATAAACTAATAGACATGGGATTAGTAAAATAAATATATACAATTTTATTTATATTTCTCCAAACTTAATAATCAATACTTAAATTTATGATCTAAATATAAAAATATTAAATTAAAGAGCTAAAATTATTTAAGAAATGGAGGAATGAATTTATAAATAAATGTAGAATATGTTAATAATATTGTTTACTTGATTATTCATCCAATTTTCTTTTGTTTATTAGACATGATTAATACTTTTGATAAGATTAAAATAAATTGATCAATTATATAGAAGTAATTTATAAATATTCTGATCTAAATTAAGTTTATTTATTATGTTATTCTTAATGGAGAGTTTGATTGGATTTTTGATATAATATGAATTAAAGAGTAGATACGATCTCATAATTAATTAAATTTACTCTTGTATTAAATTACTTTAATAATCATTAAAAAAGTGAAACAAGTATGAAATAATAGTTAAGCTTATTAAACCTGACATGCAATTAACCTAAAACTAAGGCTAGTATTATACACAAAACCTAAGATTTAAAAAAGAAGACGAGCAGTTTTGATGTTATAGGGAAAAGTCCATACAAAAGCAATTTTAATAGATAAAATTCAAGACATCTTCTCAAAGAATATCAACCTATAACAAGTAGAGTTAATTAGAGATAAAGTATTAAATCACCTCCTGAATCAACAAAGACCAGCAAACCTATTAGTCTGAGCAATAACAGTACAAATTTAATTATATATATATCAAAGATGAATTAAAATATATAGACTCTTAAAAACGAGCAATTCAAAAGTCCTATCAATATTAATTGAAAGCCTTGTTAGGCAGTGAATAAGAAAAACCTACACTCTTCGATTAAACAAAAAGTATATTACAAATATATATATTTTAGGAATAAATACATAAATAAATTCTAACATTTTGCCTCAATCTCCAAAATAAAACATAAAAACAAGTCCAGATGTTAAATATAATAAAATTGAAAACTCAAAAAGCAAAGCTACTTTCTAAAATACAAATTTAAATGTTTCTGATAAAATACTTTAATTAGAGAAAAATAAATAAAAAATAATTTCTTTATAGCTCAAACTTGCAAAGAATATTAAATAAAGACCTTAAAAATAGTCATTTCCTGTAATCTCTTTAATGGAAAAATCAGAATCTTATAATTTCTAATCAAACTCAAAACCATAATTACCTTAATCAGCTTTAATTGTTTTATAGAAATATTCTGATCTTTTGAATGATTTTGAAAAGAAAGAAATTATTGATTATGAAACTATTTATTATTTAGCTCCAAAATAGATAACTTAGAGCCAAAAAGATACTATTGGATCTTAATAAAATAATGGATTTGATACATAAGAGTATTTTCTATTTAATTAATATTTTTAGTGGAGATTATATATTTATAAAATAAGATTAAATTGCCTATCGATATGAAATGTTAGAAAAATTGGGACATGGAAGTTTTGGATATGTTTTTAAAGTTATGGATCATAAACATAATTAATAAGTGGCTTTAAAGATTATTAAAAATAAAGAAAAATTTTATAAATAAGCTCTTATCGAAATAGATATTCTCAGAATAGTAAACAAAGCAGATGTTTCTTGTTGTTTAATTAAGATGTTGAATTATTTTGAATTTCGTGGTCATATCGTAAGTTCTATATATTAATTTAGGAAGTGCATGGTTTTCGAGCTTTTAAGTTGTAATCTATATGAATTCATTGCAATTAATGATTTCATTGGCTTCGATCTCGATTTAATTAGAAGATTTGCTATATAAATCCTTCAAGGTCTTCTCTACTTAAAGGAATGTAACATTATTCATTGTGATCTGAAACCTGAAAACATACTCCTTAAAGATATCAATAGATCTGGTATACGTATTATAGATTTTGGATCCAGTTGTTTTACTAACCAAAAGATATACTCATATATATAAGTAAATTAATAAATCTATAGTTTATTAGAGTAGATTTTACAGAGCTCCTGAAGTAGTTTTGGGATTAGGTTATTCTACCTAAATTGATATGTGGAGTTTTGGATGTATAATTGCAGAATTATTTACTGGAGAATCTTTATTTTAATCAAAATCAGAAAAAGAATTGTTATTCTTATAAATCAAAGTTATAGGCATGCCTCCAAAAGATTTGATTGAGTAAGGATCTCGAAAATCTAAATTTTTTGATGAAAAATGTTAACTCAATTATAAAATAAAGGATGCAGATTTATTATAATAAATTAAAACACTAAATTAACATTTGGAAAAAGCAGATCCTTAATATTAAGATGTAATTATAATATATTTAATTAAGTTTGTTATTAAATGTCTAAAGTGGAATCCAGATTAGAGAATGACACCTGAAGAAGCATTAATTCATCCATGGATAATAAATGGATTACCTGTGACTGTCAGAAAATAACATATTTAATAAATGAAAAATATTATGGTTATTCCTGAGGATTTAGATTTTAAATAAGGTCAAGGTGAATAATAAAATGAATTTTAATGAAAATTATTATATAATTTATTTTTTAATATGGGGAAGAAAAATAAGGCTAGAAATTTTTCAACAAAGAAAAACTAATTCAAATAGATTAGCAGAACAAAGACAGCAGCTGTTTTTGATGAAAAAGAAAGAAAGGAATATTTGACTGGAATGTTTGGAGCTAAATAAAAACGTAAAGAGGAATATATTAAATTAAGAAATGAGAAACATAAGAAATTTAATAAAGAATAGAAAGCATAAATTAGAGAAGTTATATTGATTAAAATATTTTTTAGGAAAAAAAGAAATAAATAGAGAGATTACAAAATTTAATTGATTTTAATAATTCTTTGAGCAAAACCTAAAAAACAGAAAATATCAAAACATCAAACAATAAAGAGGTTGAAGTAACAACTACTTTTTTTCATGAATAATGATAATATATATATTTTCATTTTATAAAGCATAATTTAAATGAACTATAATTTTTTTTAATCCCATTCTAGTATGAAGTTTAGAAATATTAGATAAATTTAAAAAGATTAAGTTTTAATCTCATTACTATAGACATAACCATATTAATTAATTTTAGAACTTTATTTTTATTAAGGTTTTCATTAACAAGACAGAGTTGCATAAGAGAATCCAAATAGTATTAAAATGATAAATTGTTGAATGTTTTTGGAATTCATTTAATTAATATATATTTATAATTGAAATGAGTGATTTCTTTGTATAAAATAGAAGTGAAATTTCTTAGCAAAACTAAAGTGGATTTGGTAGTTTTAATGATAAGTAATGTAATTGATCATACTACCAATTAGTTTAGGAGCAAGTTTTGGTAAATTGCATTAGGACAATTAAAGTTTTGGTGGAAATGGAGGTGGAAGTTTTGTATAGAATTCAGGATTTATAGTGTAAACTGAATAATATCGATCTTCTGTTGGTCTAGAAGATGTTGCTGTTCCAATTTAAATTTATGAATATTAAGAACCTTAAATATAAAAAGGAGTATTTTTTAGGAGTAGTGGTGATTTTGAGATGCAATTTGAAGAGATAGGAATTGATAGATTGAATATTCAACCAAAGATTTAAGAGGACTCAAAAGAACATAAAGCACCTTCTTTAGATAGTGGAATGAAAAGTAGCCAATAATCATCTCATGAATTTGACATGAAAATAGGTAGTATAAATTTATTTATTTTCATTAGAATCAGGTGAATAGATAAGTTCAAAATTTAAACCTGAAGTTAAACTACTTTAAAATTCTAACATTATTTAAGAGAATAAGAATTTATTTAATGTGAATTAAGCCAAAAGCATATATACAAATAAGATTACTTAGTTAGTTGAATAGACCTAAAAAAAAGTTGAATTTGCTACTAAATCATCACCTAGATTATCGTAAAAAAATAATATTATACATATAGGAAGAGTCAACAAAAACTTTAAAAAAAATCACCTATAATTTCAAGGGATAATTTTGATGTCTCTTCAAATGAATTATAGTCAAGTCAAATGAGTCCTTATGGTAACATGGATCCTGTACAGTAAAAGTTGGCTAAGAATAGAGAATCTGCAAAGAATTCAAGAGCAAGAAAGAAAATATATTATGAATTATTGGAAACAAAAGTCAAAGAGCTTTAGGATGAGTTGGATAAAGTAAAAGAATCAAATCGAAATTAAACAAAATATACTGAAATTTGTAATAAATTTTAAGAGAAAGTATTTTAAATAACAAAATCTAGTTTTAAACTTTTTTAGATTAATAATAATAATTATTTGATAAATTAGAAACCTGTTTAATTAAAAATAAGGATAATTTTGAAATTGCAATGATTTTAGATGCTTTGAGATATAGAACTAATTCAAATAGTTAAGAAAGAAATGATGCTGCAAGACAATATTTTGACTCTATGGTTGAAGTATGTTTACCTATATAAACTAAATACCTTATTTATGCATTAGAAAAAGATAAAGACTTCTTTGCATTATAACCTGAGTATTAAAGATATTATATTAGTGATTATACTGATTGGATGAAGGATGTATTTAAAAAGACTGATATTAAACCAGAATAAATTATAAAAGTTAAGAAAATGAAATCTAAATTATAAAGTGTCAGAAATACAATATCTGAGTAAAATTATTATTTTATACATTTTAGTTCTATTTAGAACATTAAAATTTAACTAAAAATTATATAAGGTGAAGCTAATAAGGTGGATTAGATGTGGGAATAACTTAAGGAATGTTTAACTCCTGTTTAATTGGCAACATGTCTTTTAGCTATGAAATAAGTAATAAAATTGATTACTCATTTATTAGAATGCTTTTCGTTAAGAGCTTTAAACATCTTCAATATTTTTATAATTAAAGAATTCTTAAATGGTAAATATATTATATATTATTTATTAAACTAGTCAGAAGAAGATGACAACATAATTAGATTAGATTAATCATCTATTCCAAACAATAGGAAACTTGTCAAAAAATCTATGTAAGGATGAGAAAATATTTAACTAAGTCTTTTATTTTATTATTTCTGCATTCTTTCATATTATGTCGTTTTCTTTGTTTTTAATTTATATAATATAATAAATATAAAAATGCTAATCTAATTATTTCCCTATTATTATTGATTTGTAAATTACTATATTTAACCAAAATATGGATGTAGAAATAATGTTTATGCAATTAAATGAAAATTCACTTTTTACATAACTATAAATCATTTTTCACTTGTGAAGAAAATTACTTTTTCTTTATTTTTGAGTATTGATTAAATAGATTGCTAACTTTTTCTAGTTGGTGATGGTGAGAGATCTTTTTTGCCACTTTTATGAAAATAACATAATTAATTTGTTCCACTAAATCGTATATGTTTGAGAGGTTTGGATGATGAGGATGGTGTTTCCTTTAAAATGGGACTCTACAAACTATCTTCTTAATCAGAATCTGGTATCACATTTTCTGAACTATCTCCTTAAGTTTTTAAAACTTTTTCACTTGTCATTGCCATTGAATATGCTTAAATATTCATTTAAACTAAGTTTTCTTAAGTGATATTGATATAAATAAAAATATTTATCGTAATATTTATCTGAATATCTGAGTTTAAAGTTCAAAAATATAAAGATTTATTCTTTAGATTTCTTTAAAATAGAGATTTTATATTTTACAGACTATTATGTTTAAGAATAGTGAGCATTTAAATAAAAAAATATAATATTTGAGTGATTATGTAAACTCAATAATGCGTAACAAATATTTTATTTGTACAAAATTATTTATGATTATTTAATTTTGCATTTCTAAATCAAACAAATTTAATTGTTTTAGTATAGATTAATTTGCAAAAGGGTTTTTATATCATAATTTTAGTTTCATTTGTTGTATGTAGTGTGTATATTAAATAATTTATTTATGATAAATAGATTCTTTAGGCTATATTTTTGTTCATCAATTAAAATAGAACCAGTTAACATTCATTATTAAGATGGACTATTTGATACAACATATGGTTTATTAAAAATGACAAGGAATCCATATCTAAATTAAAAACAATTAGAGAGCATTACTAATTCATATTTCTTAGTGGATGGAGTTGGATCAAATTTCATTAAGAGTCTTTTTAAAAAGGATATGAATTCGTTGATTATATTCGATTGTGAAAAGATGCATTTAAGGAATGCAATTGAAATTTATTAGGCAACTAAAAAGTAGATAGATTTGTAATTCTTTGGTACACCCAAGAGACCTCGTAATCCATTTTCAAAATGCAAAGGTCCAAAGGACATATTTAATCTCTATAGACATATATAGAATCAATAAAAGCTTATGCTATCAAGGATGTGTTTAATTGTGAGCTATAATGGAGAAGTTAGAATACAAGGAACATTACCAGAATGTGGAGATTTGAAATATCATTTAGAAGAGCAACCAGAAAACATAAGTTAAATAGGATATCGCAAATACAATTACTTATTACCTTTTAGTGCTTATTAAGGTATTGTAACTGCTTACAATTATGAAAAAGAAGGAGTGGCAATAGAATTTTTAAATTATAAAAAAATCTATGCTTTATATGGTGTTTTCCCTCCTACTTAAAGATAATATTAGGTCTTATTCCATTCCTATATGCAAAAATTAGTTAAAATACATGATGTGTAATTATTGATATCCATTATATTATAGCACTCATTCTTCCCTTTATAATGTGATTGATTTGGGTTGTGGAACAGGAGTACTTGGATTTATAGCAAATGATGTTTTATTAAGGAGTTTTAAAGATAAAGAAATAAATATATATTCATTAGACAATGTAGAAAATGCAGTTAAATCTGCAAAAATTAATTCTTAATGTTTGGAATATAAGAATTATACAGCAGAATTAGGAGATATTACAGATATTGATACATTACAATATCAATTAACAGTTTTTAAGTATGTTATAATTGTATTAATTTTTAGATATCCTGCCAAATTTAATTTGATTATTGCAAATCCACCTTGGATTTAAGCATCTAAAATACGAATTGATGATTCAATTGAAAATACAGTAACAGATCCAGATGGAATAATGTTAAAATCAGTATTTGAATTTGCAAATAAATACTTGTAAATAGAATCATTAGATTCAACAAAGGGAAGATTGATTTTAATTTATAGTGATCTTTCTTAATTATTGGAATTATAAGAGAAAGAAAAGGTTCAAGATTTATGTAGAGAATATAAAATGGGTATTACATATTATTCTGAATTGCCATTCCATATTAAAGATCCTTAAAATGTTGATCCTCTCTTACAATACAAATAAAATAGTAAAGTATAGCTTTTTGAGATTCGCAAGATATGATCTATTATAAATATATATATATTAAGTTGATTGCTTAGCTATCAATAAGTTATAATATTTATCTTATTAAAATATAATGATGAAATTATAAATTTTAGAAGATAATGAATAACTAATAATATTATTGAAATATATAATAGAAGATAAATTATAAATATTAATTATAATTATTATAATTATTGAAACAGTTTAAATCTATTATAATATATTGGTAGATTATGATGAATTAATTTTCAGAACTATTTGTTATAATTATAGATTATTATAATTATGATAAAAGAGTATTAATTAATGAGATTTTTTTGTATAAATGAATAATAAAAATAATTTAATAAATGAATCACTTAAGTTTAAGCTAGTAATAAAACTTAGTTTAATTACTAACACAATATATTAGTAAGTATGAATAGATGAACAATTCAGACTAATAAAAAGAATAGATCTTTAAACAGTTTATTAAAATATACTCTAATAGGTTTTAATAAAAGGAATTTCAGCATACTTTATTTAGTTCACAAATATTGATTATAAGTCAAGAAATAATATAGTAAGAGTAATTATTACAGACACAGATTGTAAGTTTGGATTAAATCAAAGAATAAAGAGAGTAATTGCTTTAGAAACTAGATTAAAAAGAATCAGAGTTATCAAGGATAGAAAAGTTAATAGAGAGTAATAATAAAAGAGAATAGAATTAACATTAATTTGAAGATCTTTAGGATGGAATATTGATGTGTAAAGAGAAATGTGTAATGTTATAAGAAGAGAATCTTGAATTTAATAAGATGGCAGGTTCTTTGAGATAGCAAAACGATTAATTAAAAATTCGATATTCATAAGTAAAAGGATTAATATTAGATTAATAGGCTAGATTGAATTATGATAACAATTTATCTACATTGAATGAGTTGCAATAATATGGCTTGAATCTAAACTATAGAATTATGAAATAAATAAAAATAATTAAAGATTTAGGATAATTAAATCATTGTGGAATAAATTAAAATAGAAAATCAAAATTAGAAAACTTTGTTAGTAATTATTCTTAATTGGAGGATACATGTATTACATAATTAAATTCATTTTGAGCACCTTGAAGAATTGTACAATAATTTGGAATTGTAAGAACAAAATATTGATTCAGAAGTTGGAGAAAGTATATAATAATTAATTTCTATCAAACGAGAATTAGCATAAATCAATATGAAGGATTCTAGTTAGAATTCACCTAGATAATAAGATCTATAAAAAGTAGATCCTATATTAACATCAGGAGCATTTAGATTTAAAACACATCATAATTTGGGAGAAAAATAAATTAGATAAAGATAGATCTCATAATAGGAAGATGATCTAAGAGCTTTTTCTGAATTAAATGAAGAAGATGAAGTTAAATAATCATTTTCAGATGAAGATGATAAACATCCTGAATAAATATCTCATAAATAACCTTGGTATTTTAAATCAGCAGTTCCTATTATAAGTAGTAAGAATTCAGAGAAGAAATGGGAAAATTATAGTGAAAAAAAGAAACATCATAAAAATAAATATTCATTTGCATCTGCTTCATCAAATTCAAGTTTCAATAGAATGGGTGTAATGACATTGAAAGATGAATTTCAAAGTCTCTATCAATAATAATAAGTAGATGAAGATATCAAAGAAAAAGATACTGAAATGAATGATAGTGATGAAATACCTTAATTAATTTAATAATAATCAATACTTTAAGATTCTACTATTATTATTAATAGAAAATCATAATAATTAAGTAAATCAAAAGTTTAAATTGAAACCATTGAACAACCTGTTAAATCTGACTCTTATAAAAATTTAAAGATAGCAGGTGTTTTATTAGCTACATGTGGAATTGCAGGATGGTTATATAAAAAGTATTTTTGATTTTATATATATGAATAATAATTAACACAAACATTCACTCATCCTTATTTCTATCTAAAAAGCTTTTATTATCATATGATATTTTAGCAAATATGGATTTTTTAGATGTAAATAAATGAGTCAAAAGTAAAATAGCAGCAGTCCTTAAAGTTATAGTCCCAATTTCCATTACTTTATGTCTAAGATATCTGGCAACAATCTAAATTATTATTATTAATAATTATACTAAATTAACTGTCTAGAGAACTGGAAAACTGATAAAATAGAATCCACCATAGATTCCAAGCATCAATATAAATTATTAAACTGCTCCATTACTCTTTTTATATGTATTAGATAATCCATTAATAAAGTATATGAATTCTCCAATAAATATAAATGATGCTAACCAACCAACCCATCCTTCATAAGAATGATCCTTATAATAAGCATCATAATCAATAAAACCAACTCCTACTATAGTCAATTGAAAGAATGCTATTAATAGTGATAAAGGTAAAAATATTTCAAAATTATCGAATTTATTAAAATTAATTTGCCAACCCCAAGATAACATTACTAATATCATTGTTAAAGAGAATTGAGATGCAACCTGCCTTAATTATTAACATTTACTTATACAATAACTGATACCACATGTAAAACAAATACACCTTCCCCATTATAACTATATACCCATAAGTGTAATAAATTAACACCATATGAAATAGTTTCAAGGAAAAGAGTTATTACTAATAAAAACAAAGCTAAACTAAATTCTTCATACTTTTCATGTCTTTATACTATATAATAGCCATTATAAGCTAACATTATAATGTCAACTAAAACTACCACAATCATGAAATATTAAATTCCAAATTATTCAACTGAAAATTCAGTCTTACCTACATTCTTAATATGAATATCCACTTCAAATTTAATCTTTTTATATTGATCTTCTTTGAATTCATCTCTTAATCTTCGATGACAATCAGATATAGCATAATACCACATATGAGCTCTTAATTTTGCTTTAATATTTCCAGTGTACACTTAAGAATACTCTCCATTTCCAGGTACTTATATAGTCTCTTTTCTTCTTGCTTAAGATGCTCTCTAATTAATTAAGAAATAATTATATTTACCTCACATTCTTGTATTTCTAATGCCTATGGCCATTCCTCATCTAAATATAACTCAAAAAGAATAGGGAATTTTCTTTCTCTCATTTCCTCTGATTCCAATCCAATAATTCTAAATTTGATATGATAAGTGACATCTCCAACTTCAGCTCCAAATTTTGTCAAATATTCCCAATCAGAGAGTTATCTAATACGAAAACTCTTTTAAATTCTCTTTGTTTCACTAATCCAAAAAAGTACTTACAATAGTATTAGGAATTTATACATTTGAATAAATTATTTATATAAGTCATGCTAATCTGTTTAAAATTTACACCAATTAATCCTTATTTTCATATAATACAGAGTGTCCACCCTCAATGTATTATACTGTACGTTTATTCATTTGTATCTTTTTTGATAATGCTACATTATTCACATCCAAAGTCTCATCTTATAAGAATGTTTATAATAAATCAGCCTCAGAAATATTGACCAAACAATTCTTTAAAGAATGGTATACTTAAACACTAAGTATTAGTTTTTGGAATCTCTCCATAAATGAAGGACTTTACAATAAACCTTTATATTTTAATTTAATTTACCTTCTAAAATAACTTATCTACCTAATTGATTAATTGGATTCTATTGTAAAATACAAGAGAGTTAATCTTCAGAAATAGGCTGAGTATTCATTATTGTATTAGTATATTCAAAAGCAAGTTCTGGCATATCGGCAGGTTAAGATTCAAAGATTTTGATTGATTGAGTAAAGAAATTTCTTAATTGAGGATAAATTGATGTATAAGAATTAACAAAGGCAATCTAACTAAATTGAATAGTATTTTAGCATTGTACAACTAATTAAATTTATATAATTAATTACTAAATGCTTATGCATGAAAACCTCCCGAACCTACTCCCAAAATCTTTAATGTATCAGTTTATAAATCTATTTTACCCTTGGTAAATAATTCATATAGTATTTAATCTAAGATGCCTGCTATATAGATATTTGTATATGTTTGCTTCTTATTGAATAAAGTATATGCTTATCCAGGAGTGTTTAAGAGAAGTACCTTTTTATTTTAAGCTTCATTTATCAAATCTACTATGATTGGATAATATCTAAAATATAATTGATATTAATACTCAAAAAAGGATTCGAACATATCATGTAGTATAATTATTAAATCTATTCCTGATTGAGAACTCTTTTCTTTCTTCTTTGTTATGTTACTCTCAAATAAAGCATATGGAACTGCAGTCTGAGAATCAACTACTAAATACTCTAATTATGTAATATCAAAACAAGGAGGTGGATAATTCATCATTTCACATACTTCTTCTATTTATAATGATCTTAATTAATCATATTTCAAATCATATGATAATGCTTACATTGGAGTACTTAATTAGAATTGATATAATTTCCTTATGATATCAAAATTAACATGATAATAATAATGAGATGAAGTTGATAATAAGATTTATTAAACATTTTCCTATATTTTCTCATTATAATATTCTTTCTATATAGCTCTACATTCTTATTCCTTTTTACTTGTTTTGACTAACATTTTCTTTATTTCTTCTGCTCTCCCTTATAATTCCTTATTCTCCTATTAATTTGTATCAATTCTTCTAACATTAGGTGCTTTTTATTCTGCAAGGAGGTATATTAAATTATAAGATTCATTTCTAAATTCTTAAGATTATTCCATTTAACTTGGTTTTTAGAATTATTCCAATTTTTAATAATTTAAATAACCCAAAGTTAATCTATTAATTTCAATTTATTTGCAAATATCTTTAAATTTTTAAGGTGATGCTGTTTTAGAGACTCTGCTTTCAGGTATAGAAGTAATAAGAAAATTTCTCTTTTATGTAGGTGCTCTAAATATTCTAAAAGATTTTGTTGATGTAGATGGTTTCATTTATAATTTCTCTTATCTTTTTATAATATTTTCTTCTCTTTTTCTACGTCTTTCAGCTTCT